CTAGATTCTAGAACTTACACTGATTCTCAACTCGACACTGCACTAGAAGGATTTCTTGGCTTTCAGAAGAGTATCTTTCGGGGAAATCTTTCACTTTCAACACTGAGCCGACGGCAATTCTGAGGTTTTTTTCAAAAAAAACCTATGTTTTTTAATTGTTGCTATTTTTTCCAGACAAGGGGGCTGGTATTGAGGAGGGTTTTAATACAACAGCGAGTACACTGCAACACGGACGGGACGCGCTCCACTCGGTTCGCCTGCCAAACCGGAATGAGACCCAAGTGCCACTGAGCTGCCAGCCGAGCTGAGCCGCCGAGAGGAGCGCCAGCGCCAGTGCCTTTGCTACGCTGCGCTGACTGGTGGTGGTGGAAAAGGGAGCGCATGCTTGCTGCCGGCAACCCAATGGGACCCCAAGTCTCTCTCTCCCTCTCCCGGGGAGCCTTCTTCTCTCTTGCGCCTTGGAGCCGTGCGCTCTCGCTGCCCCCCCCCCACGTCAGAGTGGGACAGCAGCACAGAGCAACACGTGTTCTTATCAGTTCAGGTCTGAGTGAGAGCTCAAGTTTGAGCTCAAGATGAGTCGAACTGGTCCTCTGATAGTTATTGAGTGGCTCCCAGTTCGATTTTGGCTTAATTCTTTGAGATGCTGGTCCACTGTCCACGTTTGTTTGTTTGGTCACTCTGCGAGATGGGGTTGCATATCGGTGGGTCCTCTAATTGGTCAGTGGCCAGAGTGGTTATGTACTTGAGGTTCGCCCCTATTTTTGGGTTTATTTTCAAAGGGAATTAAAGTTTATCTTTTCAGAAATAAATTATGATGTGTGTCAGTCAGTTGATGGAAGAAATAATTCAATAAATAATAAAGACTTTTATTTGTTGTTTCTTTAGGGATATCCCACACCTCTATAGCTCCTATTTCTTGGAAAAAGTTTCTAATCTTATGATGGAATATTATTCATCTTTTTTTTTATAATTCCTATAAGAGTTTCATCCCAAAAGGAGTCTCATCCCTTCCAAAACTAGACCACAACTAGCTGCAACCCCTTTGTTTACATAATCCCCATCATATCTCTCCTTGAACCCCGAACTTCAAACTCAATTTCCCACAAATTGCAACCTTTTCCCCTCCTGGAAGTTGGTCCTGCCAGAAGGACAAAGCCATTACGCACCGCTGGGAAATTGTAATCTAAGCCCTCGTTATTGGAGCAGGCAGGGATCTAATTGGACAAATGTCCCCCAATTTGTAATGTCATTTTTCTAAAACTTTTGGTGTTGAAAATGCAAAAGGTGAACAAAGACGAAGACGAAGCCGTTGGCCATCCGGGTGGAGGTGGGAGGTGCCACCCGAAGTAAGAAGAAAATATGTCTAATTTTGCACCATGTGGACAGTGGTCATTATTTTGGCCAGGGGGCGGCTGCCGAGGCGGGCGGGGAGGGGGAACAGGTACAAGAAATGTTTGCCAAGCCAGCATCAGGTCCACTCTTTCACTCTCCATACTACCCGTCTCTTTCTAGTGTGTGTGTAAGCCAGCATGCGGTCCATGGGAGTCCGAGCGACGACAAAAAATGAGATTTGCTGACCAGTGGTCATTAAAGCACATTTACAATGAGCCCCCAAGCCGGCCAGGCAGGCCATGTCGGCTGCCGGCTAACATGGTCCAAGCCCCCCCTTCCGTACACCCATGTCCGGGCAAAATGGGCAGAGACAAGCGATCAAATCGATGCCGAAATTAATTTATCTTGGCACTCATGGCTACCCGAAATTTGACAAATTGCAAATGTATTTCAAATTGACTGCAAGTCTCTCAGATGGAGCTTGGTGGGGGCTGCGATATAAATTATACGAGCTTCTACTATGCTGGATAGTTGATTAAATTTCCATTCGGTTACTGCAATACCTTGGAATTTTAATTATGTTGTTTAATCAAAAGAAACACTAGTACTCTTGGCTAGCATTTAGAGGCTTACTTTTGGCATTTTGGTCAAAAATTATCATTCTAGCATTTAAGACTTGAGGTTATGATTACCAGGTTTCTATAAACCCCACTCCATCTCTATAAGCCGGTTAATTAATCTCATCAAGCTCTGAACTCTACAAGATTTCCCTGGCACTGGTCTAGGCCTCTGCAGGCTGACCAAGTCCAGACTCAGAGCTCCCTCCTCCATATAGTACTCCTCCACAGTTGATTGCACTAATTGGCGATGAGCGTGACGATCGTCCGAGATCGAGATGGTCATCCACTGGGGTGCTGGATGAGACAATGAGACAAGATTTTCATTCATAAAACACTCGCTGGATGGGCCGGAAGTTCTTATTTGATTGCGAATTGTGATAGGTTCCAGGAAAGGGTATAAATGGGTGTAGAAATGTTGGTTCTCATGAAAATAAAGAAGATTATTTATTGATTTTGAAAACTAGTTAGTACTGGAAATACTTGTAACTATACCTGGTACTTGTACAAGAAGAGAGAAGGCAGGAGTATTGGGTATCACATATTAGGAAAGATAGACCCTGATCCTATAAGAAAGTACCTCAGTTAGGGTATAAAATATTCCCCTTTCCTTCCCACTTCCACTTTTCTTCAAGTTCAAGTGTTAATTAAAGCAAAAGAGCCTTAATTATTGATATTTATTTGTTTTGCTCGTCACTGGGGAAGTATTTCCGGCCCTAAGTCGGGCGAGCTAATCCGGACACAGCTGTGGCTCCGTAGGGAGGGGTCACCCTGGCCCAGGATCAGAGTTCAAAGGCAGGCAGAAATATGTAAATGCAGGGCGCTGGAGCTGGCGCTGCGCCTGCGTGGAGCGATAAAAGCAAATCGAAAAGGGAACCCACCGCTAACCGATTTCCACTTCAATTTCGAGCTGGGTCATAAACTGCCAGCATATTGGAGGAGTTCTGGCCGTGGAGGGCCGGGGGTCACGAGCTCGGCCGGGCGGGCTAAATGCTTGTTAAAGGGCGTGCTCGAAATTGTTGCCTTCGATGTTGTGTGTGGTTTGTGGCAACCACAAAAACAAATCAGCAGCAGTTGGAGCTGAAGTTGGATCTGAAGCTTGCGTTGGAGTTCGAGAGGCAATTGGCGAATTCGATTTGCAATTTCTACACAAATCCCAACGAGAAACCTGAGGCTTCTGCTGCTGGGTTGAGCAAACAATTCAGAATGAAGTGAGATCGGGAGTCGGAAAGTTGATTTGCAATTTCATGGCAGCGCCAATTTGCACCTCATCATCGTTATTATCCTAGTGGCCATCCATCCCTATCTCTCCGGGTGATGGGTGATGATCTTCCAATCGTTCAATCAGCCAGCATGGATGAGGAGGCACGTGCAGGTTGCAACCTGCAACCCGAAACGAACCGGGTCTAAGGATGTCCCACATATTTCTCGCTATCTCTGTACACCAAGTCCCAACTATTCGTATCATCTTGGAATTTGGCTGGCCAGCGCTGCAGCTGGACACAGGCTAGAGTCTTGGTTCACAACCAGGAAGTCTGGACGCCAAAGTTGAAATGAGAAAAATTTCGCTAGATAAATAATGCATATCTCACGCACCAGCTCTCGGGGGCTATGAGGCTCCTTGGAGTGGCCCAAGTTGCAGTTGCTTTCGGCCGTTTAATGAAGGCCTAGATCCGATGCCAGGCCATAATAAGCAATGGCCAACAATGAAATCTTTGGCTTCAGCTCTAGCTATCGGTTTAGCTCCGTCCCTGGGCCAATTTATGCGATGGCTTTCAGGCTGGCCCCTTCCTCCGGCCTGGCTGCGTGTCTCGATTTGGCGCGATTGCTTTCGGTTTAATTTAAGCCCTGAGCTCGCAGCTCCCCCGAAAGAGATTCATTAATGTTTGATTTTGGCTGCTTTTCTATTTACCTTTTCCCAAGATCAAGCGAGATTTACGCCAAATTGCCAGTGGCCTGGTCTTGGGCTTGGGCTCCGGTTGCTCCTATTGGGCTCTTTCTTTTGCGGCCTTTTCTGTCTCGGAGTCCCTGTCTTATAGACTGTGTGGGCCAACTATTAAATTGGTTCATTAAAGGCTGTTTCAAGTGTTTGTTTTTTAAAAGTAAGAAGGCTTAGGGAAGTACATTTAGGTTTAAATCTTACTACTAACTAATCCAGAGTCTAGGTGTAGATATTAAAAAGATATTATAATAACATATTCTATCTATAAGATACTTCTATGCTTTAATTTGGGGTTTTTCTAGAAAATATTAAATCTTAACTTTAAAGAAAAAGTGTCAAATACTTCCAGATGTCTATATTCTTAATAAGATAATGGTTTAATATTAAATACATAGCTTAGGAGCTACCAAACCTCGACTTCAATTGTAGGTATGTGGAAGGCGAGGTAACCTAATCGAAAGCAAGGGATTCAGTAACCCCTGATGGTGGGTTGACAGCTCTTTGACCAAATGACCAATTAGAGTTCCACATCGAAACACTAACAAATAGCACCCACATGGAAAACAAAGCCAATAATTCGATAATGATCACCGAAGGCAGGGGAGCCCCTTCCAAGGAGGGTAGTTACATGGCTGGTAGGAAGACAAAGTGTGAGGAGAAGATTCCTAAACAGGCGGAACATCTCACCCGCTTATTAAAAGCATATTTATGGCACTTCCATCCCCGGAATTCCCCTGCTTAGGCAATCATTAGGCACATTGGGCAACGAGGCAGGCACGACCAATTGGCCGACTTTGTTATTGTTTGTTGGCGGGATGATTCACGGAGGAAACAAAGGGGCACTCACATTTACATAGCACCAGATGGTCCGTTGATGATCACACTACCTCTCGTTTCTCACAATTCGTTGGTTAAGCTCATATTTTAAGGTCTTTTGCTGATTTTTACTTGCTAGCTAGCAATTGTTGTTTATTTTTGCACCGAGTGTGCCCGTATACTGGCACGTCAGAAAAATACCTCCTAAAATACCGACACTACAAAAATACTAAACAGCTGTTCGGCACAGTGGTTTAAACTTCAAAAATCTGACAATAAAAACAAAGGCTACGTATTTTTTGTAAAGTGCGTTTATATATTAATTCCGAATAGATTTGAATGCAATAAATAACAACAGCTCTGTGGGGTATAAAGTTAGAGACAAGTATCGCTGATTAGCTGGAGGGAACTACATGTCCTGGACCAGCATGAGAAGTTCCTCCTTCAAGTAGTTCAAGTCGGCCTCGACGGGCTTGGAAACATCATCGGCGCTGAACAGCATCAGAGAGTTGGGAATGAGTCTGAACATAAGAATGAAATGTTAAGTATATCTTTGATTCCTAACCGATCTCTTCAGAAACTCACTTGCAGTCGAATAGAGTCTTTTCCATGTCTTCTTCACCAAAGCGGCCCTCGTTGGCGGAATTTAGGGTAAATGATAGTGATTCGTCTGCCAGACAGGACTGCACAAATTCTACAACATCGGAGATCTTCTCATACACGTTGAAGGTTCCCTGGAAATTAAAGCTATTGGTTTACTTCCTCATAAAGGCGTCTGATAACTCACTTGTATAAACAATCCATTGGGAAACTTGACTCTCACTAAAGCGTAACGATACATGCGCAAGTTACGCTGCTCCTCACGCTCCCTCATGGCCTTGGTCATCAGCATCTGGGACTTGGCAACAGCCTCGGCCCGCAACTGCTGCTCCTTCTTAATGTCCGCATGTGTCATGCGGAAGAAGTCGTCGGGTAGCGCCACACGACGGGCCTGCGAAGGCAACAGCACCTTGATGTTGCGATCCAGTTCCAGTGGAATGATCTCCGAGTTCTTTAGAGCATCGACCAGAGTGGGAAGATCGAGATCTTGTTCGGTGCGGTCACGGGTCCACAGCAAATACGGCTCCCCATCCATTTCCACTTCGTTGAAGCCAGCTGCCTGCAAGACATCCAAGGCGCCCTCCACGTACCGCACCTTTTCGCTGAAGATCTTGTTGGTCATGCGGATCTTGCAGAACTTCTCCTCCGTGGGGTTGTTGATGAGGTTCTCCAAATACTTTATTAGCGTGGCGATGCACTCGTCGGCCTTCTCCTTGGGGTTGCAGTTGTGGATGATGAGGCAGCCGGTGAGGCCGCGGTCTGTCTCGAGCTGTTGGTACAGGAACTCCTTGATCCTGACCTTCCACTCGCTCTTCGGCAGCAGCTCCTCGCTGATCATGGGGCAGCGGAAGAAGACTCCCTCGCAAGCCAGGTTGCGATTGTCCCCGCCCGACGTGTTAGTGGTTGATGCCTTGGCCTCTGCGCTGGCCTGCTCCTCCTCCTTCTGGCGCTTCTCAGCTTCCAGCTCCCGCTTCGCTTGCGCCTTGATGGCCGCCATCGAAGTGTTGAATTCCCGCGAGTTCTTCTTGTCGATGCGGGCCAGGGCAGCGTTCGCAGCTGCCCTTGCCTCGTTGCTAAGCTCGTTGCGGTTGGGCGGGACATAGGCCTCGTACTTTTTCCGGGACTTGCTGCTGGCCGGGGCCTCCTGTTTTGGATCGGTCAGCTTATGTCCTGCCCCCATTGTGCTGCCAGTGAGCTTGAGCTGTGAGAATACACGAATTTATGAAGTATTTTGTTGATTTTGAAAAGGTTATAGGTCGAGAAATGTCAAAGGTACCTTAAAAGCTGACGCCTCCTCCTTCTTCCTGGCAAAGAACTTCTTTATTTTCGACATACTGGCTCTATATGCGCGGCGAGTGTTCCTTGGGCAACTTCAACTTGGCCACCGACAGCTTCAGCTCCTCGATTTCTTTAAGAGTGCCTGAAAAATATAACATTATTTCAATCGCTCGAGTGAAGCTCTCGTTCTGGGTGCCTACTTGGTCTGACAAACTTCTCGGTGATGACTTGGCCGTACACGGACCAGGAGTAGCCGATGAGGACGCAGGTGCCGAGCAGCAGGACCAGCAGGACCTTCAGCAACGTCGCTTGTAGGTCGCTGAAGGCGATTGGCCCGTTTTCCCACTGGTAGTCGCCGGTCAGAGACTCCAGACTTCCACGCAAGTCGACGGCTGCCTTCAGGGCAACGCCAGCAAAGACCTCCACTTGTCGAGCGATCGCCTGCAGCGTTGTGTTCAGCGTCTCCACGCACAGGTTGATACTCATTGGCCCGATTGCGTTGACCTGTTCGCTTTCTAGAATTTCAACTTTGCTGGCTTTGTTCTTTGTTTATTTGTTGCGCATTTCGTATTTCACCTTTTTTCAGTGCAGTTACTGGATGATTTTAGCAAGTGTGACCGAACAATGTTTTGGAAAGTGGCTTACAGCTCAGATATAGAGGTGGGGAAAAATCGATAAGTTATAGAATATATTCGATAACACAATCGGTGGCGCCATCTATTGCTAACGACTTTGTTAGTGTTGGTAAGTGTCTTTCTCTTTAACGGTCAGTAATTTAAAATCAGAATCTCAAAAAATATATGGTTTCTTTTTACTTTCTCTATAATTGCGTTAAAATATCAAAATGGTTTAATATTAAGAGCTTATTTCAGCCTTTTATCACAGTAAACATGTTCGATCTTTGTAAATCTGTAACATAAAAGTGCTCTTCTGCTTAAAAATAAAAGCTTAATCTTCTTCTTTAAGTTACACTTTTTATTAAAAATTGTATATTTTGTGGAAAAGCCTGACCTCATCCTGGATCAATAGCCTTGATTTTTGCATCTTGCTTCCTGCCATAAATTTAAGCACCTGCCTTTGACCTTATTAAGTTCCTGTTGCTCCAGTTTCTCAAACACAGGAACAAATTTTTGATAAAAAATACTGAATTTTAAAGAGCTAGAGGATAAAATCGAAGTTTTGAGATAAGAAAGAAAGCACATTTTTTAGTTAATGAAGTTAAAATACTTTTTAAAAGTAACTATACAAGGTACGATAAAAATAAAGATCTTAAGCATGTGAATGTTCTCTTATCTTACAGATATATTTCTTTGATCAAAGAGTGGTCTAATATGTCAGTAAAATTCTAATAAAACTTTTATTAAAAATGATTAATTTTTTTTAAGTAATGAATTAAAAGTCTTAATGAATGAAAACCTTAAAAATCATAGTTTAAATTTGGGTAATAGCTTGTTTGAATAATTAATCAGAAATTATATTATTTGATGGCTCTCCTTGTCGTTTTTATGAAAATGGTAATTGTCATTTTGAGGTTTCAGTGCATTTACATAATTATTGGGGATTACCCGCCCCGTATTCCCGTATCCCCGTATTCATATGCCAGCTGTCGTAATTGAATGATTTTCGATCGTTCGGGCAAGTGCTGTTGCTTCCTGTAATTTTCGGCGATTTTTTGGGTCTTTCTTTGGGGGCATCCTCCTTTGAGGTGCCCCAAAATACAGGATGGGTGATTGATTTTTTTTCTGGGGTCTTGCATCCTTGAATACGTTTTGGGGCAAGTGATTTCCCAACCCCGGGCGAGGTGGGCAGGCAGGGGAATCTCTCGCAGAGATCATGCTCCAGTGGTGCGGCGGGTTCAACAGCCGAAACTCGAGCGGGGCCAAAGAGAAATCTCTTGCAGCTTATGGCTTCCGTATGCGCCATGCCTCGCGCTCCACTGACTACCACCAGTGGTGGAGACCTCGTCTTGTAGTGTTCTTTTTTACTTTTCTTGGTTTTGTTTTTGTTTTTCCAGCGCTGTTGCCTTCTAGAGTTTACTTTTTGTGGCTGTTTGGCTGTTTGGTTGGCTTTCTGCAACTTCAATTACACCAGAGAGACAGCCAACAGCCACAAACAGATACAAATGTCTATTCTATTTCGCTTTGGCTCCAAGTTTATTTATGCTGGCTCATTTTTCTGTGCCGGCAGAATGTCGACGACTTATAATTCGAGCAGCGTGTAAGATTTAGCCAGCCAGTCCCCTCGTTCTGGCTCTGGTCTGGTGACTGTGTGATCTTCCCAGATCTTGCCCATCCATGGTCATTATATCTATCACCATCACGCGATATGTTCTCACTTGCAGCGATCCAACCACCCAGTGCCCATCATTCAACGTCATTCCAGGCCCAGATCCAGGCCCCCCGAAGCCCATCGTCTCAGTTGCAATTGCCATTGCAGTTGCAGTTCTTTTTGCAGCGTTTTTTGCGCAATTAAAATTCCGCAAATGCCTCGCCAAGGCACCCAGCGTTGCTCCAGGAATGCAAGAGTGGCGCGCATGCGCCGACGTCCGTCGCATTGCAATTGTTGTTATCAGCCGAGTGGCCATGCGCCGAACCTGAAAAACTAGTTTCACTTTGTTGCCAATGGAGCAGCGGTCGGTGTGTGGCCGAAACCTGAGCAGAAAAACTCCATCACGTCCTAGAGTCCCAGGGGTATGCTGGACTTTCGTAATGAATGGTGTTTTATATAAAGAAACCTTCCTCGAGGCGTTAGATCAAAAGCCACTCTGATAAAAATGAGGTTTCCCCAACAAATCATCATATCATAACTCACCCTGATAAAGTGATTAATAATATTTAAAACTGAGGCTATTTAAAAAAAAAAAAATGGTATGACACATTTATCAAAAAAGCTGTTGGGTTTAAGAGCAATATTTTTTAATACTTTTTCATAGAAATCATTAAAATTAAAGCTCTTAAAAGGGTGAGAGTTTATTAATAAATGTCTAAAGATTTTTAAAGATTTCTAGTCAATATCCATACTATAGTATTCTCAGATAGATAGTTCATATTTTAGAGTTAAAAGTATATCCTTTTCCAATGCTATCTATATATTTATTTAAATTTTACTTTTTATATATTATCAAATCTCTTCATTTAATAAGAAAATATATTCTATAAGATACTCCACCTGTCGATCAGTCTTAGCCACATTCCTGCTGACGTGTTTTCTGCACGAATTTCATGGTTGGGAAAGCCAGTAAAAGCCTCATCCATTCGGCCGTTTGGCCATTTGGCCATTGCCTTGGCTTTTCTTTTGTTTTCTCCCGTGGCCAAACTGGTTGTGCCAATTTATGGCCAACATTGCCGTGACTTTGCGTTCAACTCGCGAAAGTCAAGGTAAGAAAATAATGCAAGACACCATGGAAAAAAACGAGAAAAAAAGCACACAATTCAAAGGGTTTCCTGTTAACCGTTTTCAGAGTTGTTTCTTGGATCTTCAATTGATAGAGTACCTCGGGATTGCGGAGGAGGGGGAGGAAACTGAACTGGCTCGCTCATTAAAATTTATGCGCAGGAAACGGAAGCGCCGCAGACGACGAGCAGACACAAAGTTGCGTTGCGTTGCGTTGCGTCTTTCCTAGACGCCTCCTGGCTAGCCCCACTCCTGGCTTCTGCCACTCCAGGCCACCCCGTTTGTGCCACAATCTTCGGCTACGCCAGCCGCGTGACAAACAGGCAGAAAGTGTCACTCAAATTGGCCGCAAAATTGAAAGTGATGACACGCCCACACAGTATATGGTGTCTTGCATAAGCAAGCAATTGGATGGGAAGTGCAGGAAGAGCGTTTTGATTTCTTAAAAAGTGCACAGAAAGAAAAGGGTATTAATATAAATATAGGTTTTATAGCTTTATCAATAAAATAATAAACATAGAATTGGGTCTATTTAATCGCTTAAATGATCCTATAACTCATAACTCCTATGATCCTATAACTCATTTAAGCGATTAAACAGACCAAACCTCTTAATATTTAGTTTTTGGAAGAAATAAGTATTATACCATTCCTTTGTTCTTAAATTAAATAGCACTTTCTATAGAATATTCTACCTATCTTGTTATATATTTTAATGCTTTTTTAACTTTAAAAAAGTGTATAATGATATTTATATTTTTTTATTTATATCTAGGTATGGTTTTTAAAAGAAAAATTCTGTTCCAGAAACCATTTATTAGGTTATAGATTCTCCCAACTTTATTACTGAAACACTTAGTTGATTTATTAATTTTTATATTAATTTTAAATGAAATATTTTTTAAAATGCAATATATCTTGTTAAATTTTCGACTCCAAGTCATTTGAAATATCTTCTAGATACCAGCCTTGTTTCCATTTGACAAGGAACGAAATCATGAATGAATGGAGGATCCCCTTAATTATCGTATTCATGGCTGCGACTCGTATCTATTAGATGAATGCACTTGTTGCACCAACGGGGGGATAGCTGCCCCTGACTCCAAGTCTACCTTTCTCTTTCCAACGCCCTCTAGCCCGCTCTTTCTCGCTTCACACTTGACTTGGCTGAGCCGCAAAGTTCGTTCCCATGAACTTCTTCTGGTGTGTGGCAATCAGATTGCTCTCTATGCATAAAATTCTCCCATGTTGCCCCCAGTACATCTGTATCTGTATCTTTATTTGTCTTTGTATCTGTATTCGAGTGTGTGGGTTCTCTGCTTGGCAATGACAGTTTCTTTGACTGCCCTGAGACTGTGGGTCTCGACCATTTCCCTCAAAAGACACATTTTCCACAACTCCCCGAGCGTGGGAGTGAGAACCGAGTCGACTTGAAAATATGCCCAAAAAAAAAGCTTGAAACAAAAAAAACTGAAACCAAATCCGCTGAACCTCAAGTGCTCTTGAATTCGCTGAGAAATACATTTTCTTGAACTGCGAACGGATGTTAATTGAAAAGAATGTAGACCCCCGGGTGGGCTTTTCAAGTCTTGGATGTGAGATTTTGGTAATTAAATTTCCACATATTACCAAAACCCGCTGGGGACCGCCTGCCTGTAGTTTTTTAAGGAATTTAAAATTCCTATTTTCTCCATTTATCACCCGGCAGTAATGGTGTTTGAAAAGTCGCCTTTCAGATACATATTTATTTTATGTCGTCCGGTTCTCTGACTCACCTGCAGCCTGCAGATCAATAAGCCCGGATCATTTTTTATTGAGAACCCTGGTCCATTGGCCCAAACATGTTTAGCATATTTTATTTTTCTTTTTTAGTTTCGGACCAGAACAAACAAACAAACAAGATATCAGACAGCCAAACAACAAGTGGCCCATCGGGGAAAAGCATTGTGTGTGGCTTCCATAACTCTTTCCCCCCATATTCCCCATGTATGGTATTCTGTTGATTCACTTCTCCATTTGTTTACCCCCAACGCCAATGGAGACGGAGTTTCGTGGGAAACATAGCACCCTGGCCACTACTGGATCTCCCTCTCCAGGCAATGAACTAATTAAAAAATATAACATTGCTGTTCTGGAGTTCAAGAGTCTTAGAATATCCACATTTCCATTGCACCATCCCAGACACTTGTTCCTTTTCCAACTGGAGCTTCCTCTTTCGAGGCCACTTGAAGGCCCTGAATAGAATTTTTTGTTGTATTTTTTTGGTCTAGTCATTTCCTCCCCGAAACAAAATTCAATTACGCGGCAAGACAAGCGCCGGAAAAGCGGAAAAAGCATTTCGACAAATTGGCAACTGAAGCCCGGTAGCTGGAATTGGGTTTGTGATTGTGTGGCTTTGGTTTCTTTGGTATTTGATGTTTGGTTTGGCTTGGCTCGGTCGATCGACGGACGGACGGACGGTTTCCGTCCCTGTCCACTTCCGTCCCTGAGCCCCTCTCTCCATCCGCTTTTATTGTTTTCGCACCTCGTCTTCCGTTCGCCTGCCGGCGGATATTCTACTTTACATAAGCGGCATTTCCTCAATTTTCCCCAGTCTTTATATGATTTACGAGTATATGATTCACAGTTTTGTTTTGGTCGCTTTATTCGTTATTATATCTTATACTATAGGGTAGGATAGTCATGAGGATATGAGGATAGTCTTACTTAGTATATTACTTATGGATTACTTGTAGGAGACTAGATCCGAACCTCTCTGAATCATAAGCTCAAGTTATAAATAGTCCCCATCAATCATAGCTCAATACTTGATATCATAGAGATAACTCTTTCTATTTCTATAAGATCAACTTGAAGATTATTATAATCATACCCGGTACTTGTAGGGATATAAGCCCTAACCTAGACATAAACGACTAATCCTCCTATAGACATAAATATTTAAAAAGACCTGCCATAAACCGAAAAATGTGATCCTGCCTGTAACACCACAGACATTCTTTGGAAATCATCTCCAGATTGCAGCTATTCTTTTTTTTTTTGTGGAAATAAGACTCTGTCAGGGGGTGTCAGCTGCTGGACAAGGCCCTGTGCCCTGTGCCCGTGCCCCTTGTTGTGGCATGTGTCGAGGTGCGACATCTGTTGCTGTTTCGGCTTCGACATCGGCTTCGGCTTGTCTTGTCTGGGGTTTTGGTGTTTACAAGGTATGGGATGGGTCATTTGTCTCACTTCCTTTACCTTTAACTACATCCCGGATGCTACCGACAAACCGAGAACTCAACTGAACTGCATTAAATGCAAACTTACAAAACCAAAAAGCGACAATGAGCCACATGGAGCAGAAAAAGCAAAAACCCCAAACCCGAACCCAGACCCAGACCCAAGCAGCAGGAAGAGCATCAAAACATCGCGTATCTGTATCTGAATAGGTATCTGTATCTGTACATCTGTATCCGTATATCTATGTATCTATGCATCGGTGTGTCTGTTCATTCATAGAAGGCACAAAAAGAAAAACCTAAATGAAATGAGCGGATGCACGGGCGGATGGAGCGCTTTGAATTTTGTATATACATATATGCCACCGATCTAGCCGTCCCGCTTGTTCACCCACTCACGGATGTATCTATGTATCTATCCGGGTTCTATTTGACTACCGATGCTGATTATCGTTATCCGTTATTGTTATTGTTGTCATAATTGTTGTGTTGCTTCTTTTTTTTTGCAACTTCCGAAAAATGTAAATGGTGGAAGTTCCATTTAGGAAGTTAATAGATCGGGTCAGTACCAAGTACTACTACCAAGTAACTCCAGTTTCCCCAACTCTCCCACTGCTATTGGGAAAATAAACACTTTTGGGTGATCTATGTATGGCCCGGGCCTAAACAAATGTTGGCATTAACTTCTGGCCAAGAATAACAAAGAGTTTATTGCACTTGCCCCGCTCCCTGTCACCCATTCCCCCAAAGAATATAGCTGGGACTTAATGATGTGCTAATTGGGCAAGCGTTTTTCACTTGTCAATGCCGGTTGTCTGGCGGGGCACTGTCGGGGAGAGACATAAACAGAACATTAGGGCCCGAAACACCCAAAAGAAGGATTGCCCAACCCCGTGCCGGATCAGATCTTTGTATTTTATGGGCAATTTGGAAATTACTGTTTCGAATGGGTTTTATTTTAGTATAAACAGATGTACATACATGGTTTTCTAGCTCTGGAATATATACTTCACGTAATGCTATAGGTTTTGGTATTTAAAAGAATCTAGAGAATATTTTTTATCAGGGGCTTCTTAAGTGTTTCTGTAACTAAATCATCAAGAACTTCTTTAGGGAATTTTCAAAAGAACCTACTATGATTTAAGATTCCGGAATGTATAAGTTCTATAAGGAATCTATAAGTTCTTTGTTAGAAATATTCACCCTTTAGCCCCCAAGAACCCGGTAGTAGTCTCTTGTAAAGACATCTTTTCTTCTTTTGGATCATCTTCTTATATAGTTCCTCAAAGGCCTAGGCCAGTCTTGGCCCATGAATAGACCAATCCCCCTTTATTGTATGGGTGTTTACCTTTACCATTACCTTAATCTTACTCCTTATCAAAATAAAACCCATTGTTTTTTTTATAAAATTTCATTTTATATTTATATTTTCATCGTCGGATGCAAAACTTAGCACGCTAATAGGACAGCATTCGAACTGCTCTTCCGCGGAGCAATCTCTGACAACATTGAAATGCAGAATCAATTATGGCTAAGGACTTAGCTAACGAATATCTACCGACTAGGCATTACAACTAACTTTAGTAAATAGTTTAGGCTAAACGAACCCTAGAGATACATATGTACAACCGTTTGAGGGATAGCTGCGTGTATCCGCGAGATGCGGATTATGAGAGCAGGGCCATGGCCCGGGCGAGTCGCACCCGGAAGTCACGGTAGAGCATCTTGCCGCCGACGGGGACGCGGCACAGGTACATGTCCAGACTCATGAGGCACAGGGCCTTGCCGTTCATGGGGAACTTCTGGGGCAGTTCGGGCGTCACTTCCAGGCCCTCGGAGACGGCCATGTTGATGAGCCACTTCCAGACATCCGCTCGCGTCCAGTCGCGCGGATCCAGGGGCAGGCCGTCGGAGCCCATGGGATGCAGCAGGCTGGTCATGCCCCCGTCTTCCATGCCCAGAAGTCGATTGTTGTTGTCGTCGGAGGTGGCGGAGCTATTGCTGATCAGGGACACCACTCCGCCGCCTCGGCACTTGTCCAGCATCTGGTAGGGGTGGTGGAGGTGCCGCTTCGAGGAGGGTGTGCTGGCCACTCCACTGCCACTCCACAGGTCCTGGGTGGCGTTCACCTGGGACAGGTCCAGCGGAGGCACACGTCCGGCGTATTTCGGGTAGCTGGACTCCACTTGCATTGTTGGGCTCTCGGTTCTTGTCTGGGGGAGATACAGAAGTTGCTGATTAATGGAAGTGACTCAGTGGGTAGGTTAGTGCAACGGAAATGCTTTCACAAGCCGGCCCGCCAATTGCGTTAATCGCAATAACAGCACAAACAGCAAAAGCAGCAAAAACAGCAAAAACGGCACAAATAATAACAAAAACGGACGTATAAATACTAAAACAAATAATAACACGCATACGCCGAGTTGAACACCAGTGTGATGACCCCCTTGCCTACAGGTTACAGGGTATGTCGGATTAGTCATTGGGTTTGTACACGATTTATAGTTAACAAAATAATCAGAATCTTTATAATAATTCTCAGTAATATTCCTAAAAACATAATTTAAAATATTAAATATAGACACCTCTATAGGTCATATTGTAGGTCTCATAAGTACTATCTACTACATGTGCTGCCTTCTTTTGATTTTTGTGCAATCTTTTGTAATAAACAATAAACAAAATTTATAAACTTAAGGGTGTTGGGTCGGCCCCCACCCCTCCTCGTGTCCCAATTGATACACTGTTATCAAATCTGACCTTGTTGCCGGAATGGGCGTCATTAGCATCGAGGCGGATCGCACGCGAAAGGAAGCGCTGAATAATCATTACCAAGCTGGACTGGACTGGACGGGACGGTCGGCTGTCGTATCGATCGGAGGGGAGTGCGGGATCCCGGGGGCGGGACGGACGTGGACGGGTCGTGGCTAATGACCGGGGGTATAGCGGCGCATGTGGCACTGGCTGACATAGAAACCCAGGCCAGGCCAGGCCGGATTTCAGATTCCAGATGGGGGTCAGAGCCGAGAACAGGGCGGAGCGGAAATAATTACCAGCCCAATTGGCAGCTGCGAAAACGGTGAGCAAAACAAAGAGCCCATAAAAATGGGAATCAAAATGAATATAGTATACAAGGGGCTCGAAGAAAAAAAATCAAGAAACAAGCGAAACATCCGCCGACGGATCATAAAAGGTGTCAATGCGCGAATGCGGGTAAGAATATGGGAATGGAAATGGCAGTGGCAAATGGCAACGGAAGCCCTGCTCTGGGATTTCAAGTCCAAACCGAAAGGGAACCTTTAATAGTTTTCCGGAATACGCGACAGGGAGCTTCCGCCGAAGGAAATGCGTAAGGAGCTGCAGAAGTTTTAATTACACAGTTCATTGCCGTTCGGCCCAGAAATTCCCACGAAAAATATATAAAAAGCAGGAAGAGTCTTGGAGTTCTACTTCTGGCTCTTGAAGTTCTTGTAAGGCTCTTAAAGGGGGTATAAATTATCCTCTAACTCAAGACCCCCTTACCTTAGGGAAAGCTATCCCAATCGAAAATGGGTGAGTCAGTCATTCCAAAAGATATATAAAGCGACATCTTAGACACCATTAGATGAGAACAACAAAGCCCTCGAAGAACCCCCCGTCTGGCGGGGAATGACCCCATGGAGCAGCCTCAAGTTTTCCTGATCTTCGGGCGGTCTCCCAGCAGGCCCACTATGAATTCAATTTAGGTTCAATTTTAATTGAAAATGGGAAATGGAAAATGGAAAATGGAAAATAAAAAGGGGGAGAAGGCCACCCCTGAGGCAGGGCATATGTGGATTCTACACTGAGAGTAATAATCATGGATTAGATGATCATTGAAAATGATATTTTAATGTTTTCAGCAACTTCCGCTTTCAATGAAAACAAAATTCCGACTTCCCACTCCCACGCCCGTGGAAAAGCGTGTGAAAAGTGCGGAAAAGCCAAAGGGATCAGCTGTCTGAGGGGCTTCCGCCGCCCCTGACTCTGGAATCAAAGTGATTGATTCGTCGGCCAGATATAGCATATGGCAATGACATTCGGGTGATCGGTGCCCTGGTGTTCCGGTGATCGGTAGCTCGTGCTGAGCACGCGTCGCCTTATTTTCTTGGTTGGTTGTTTTTCACGCTTCGCTTTGTTTGGTGGATGGAAATGAACAAAAAAAAAAAATTATAAAGAAAAAAAAAAGGGAAAGGGAAATGGTTTTCAGTTACTATTTGACAAAGTCAATGGAAGTCAATGGCAGGAAGTCGCAGTCGTCGTCGTCAGTGCAACGATCGCATATCCGCCAACCGCCTGCGCACACAGGATGTACCACCACCAGCCCCTCCCTTCCTTCCCCTCTCTCTCCCACTATATATTTTTCTCCTTTTCAAGGAAATGCTCAAAAGTCAAACAGATAAATGAGGAAATGTGCCATACATGCGCCACTTTTAATTACATCCACGAAAATAAATAGGTTTAAGTGCGTGAGTTTCTGCACTTTGCACTCCGCCGTTCTTGCCACTTAGTAGCTGCCACTAAAGCAGCAGCCCCAGAGTCTTAAAAAACATCTCGAGAGACAACGAAACGTAAAAATTGTAATTTGAAGTTCGTAAAAATGACGCGCTTCCTGTCATTTGGCGAGCACTTTAAGTGCGTAATTTGCTATCCGCCAAATATATGTGATTCTCTCAGTTTCGGGCTGATCGTGTATCTCTGGCGGTTGTATCTGTGTGTGTGTGGTTGTGTCTGTGTGGGTTTGTCGGCGGGTGTTTATGCCACACAATTTCCTCTTTCTCCAGGGCTCCCTTTCCATCTTGCATCTGACTTCCGTTTGCCGAAACAGATTCCTCCGCCCGGCTCAGAATTTAAACTTTTTTTTTGAAAATTTTAAATTAAATAACAAATTATGCAATTTTAGAAACTAATTTTCTTGAAATTCCTAGAAAACTCATTTATTGTTTGTAAATTTTGTGGCGCTGTGGCTTTTTGTTGCCAATTTTCTTGGCCAGCTTTCAAGGCAATAAACTCGTTCATTCATCGGAGTGCACCAGACGACAGATGATAATCTGCTGAATCTTTTAAAAATAAACATATTTTTTTGTTGCCAGTCTAGCAGCCGAACCGGATTCCATTTATGCACATGCTGATCTCGTCGTAATTCTGTTTTCATGACGTACTATATATGTATATGGATGTATGTTTGCTGATATTACAAATCATGTAACGCCATCGAGGCAGCAACTGCATTGCATCGTCTGTCTGCCTGACGTCTGCTATCTCTGTCTCTGTCTCTTGCCGTCTCTGTTGCCCTCCCCCCAAAAAATACAGTGCCCCATTCATCATTTGCCTGGTACAGTGAGAGAAAATAGGGGGCTCTTACTTGATTTTTAGGTATATAAAATATTGTAAATGGTCTTTAAAAACTGGTCTTTAAGTGGGTGTGTTTATTATATTTATATTTTATATTTATATTTCAAGACTGCTTATGATGGAAAATTAAAACAAAATTTTTTATGATATCTCAAGACTCTGTAGAAATGAATAGTTATTTAATTTATTATTCATAAAACCATAAAATATATTTTAAAGAGGGTTTATTTCTATAAATCTTTTCCAAAAGTTAAACTTAAGCCTAGGAAACCCCATTTTCTTGCTTCTAAAAACACCCCCAATTTTCCATTTCCGTTTTCTCCCAGTGTAATGGCCCCCAATGTGTGATGGACGGATGTGTGACGACTTTCGGTCTTGTTGTCGCTGATGCGTTTAAAAATATAAGTACTGTGCGGCCAAATGGCGCCAAATGCATTTCGAATCGGTCCCGAGTCCGAGTCCCAGTCCGAATCCGAATCCGGCAAGTCTTGTGAAATGTGCAGTTCGGAGAGTAAATTGAAATCAAGCGAAATACATAGTTGGGTCCGGGTTGGAGGGGATGGACTCGTATTCACGCCTCGCACGTGTCACGGGGAAGTGAGGCATTGCCTCCACTCCTGTCATAGGTTCAGCAGGAAGTCCCCTCCTCTAGCTACTCCCTGCCCGAAGAATTGCTTATCAAAAGTGGCGCATAGTCAGCGTTTTGTCATTTCCTCTTCTGTGGTTCTCAGTTCTGAGTCAGCTGGGAAATTAATTAAGCGGGCGAGGCCAGGTGCAGATCGTGCGATCCTGCAGCTGCAAAGATTACAGAGCCGAGGCGAGGACCCCCCACCCTAGAGGGCATATCCTTTGCGCATGCGCGCGCATTCATAAGAAGCGAGGGCCAGAGAACCGGAGAAGAACCGGAGAAACAGGGCCCGAAACAGGGTAAAACGGAGCAATGAATGCATCTTTATCGACTTGGCCACAAAATTTCGTTTTTGCAGCTGCCGCATTGGCATTTTGAGTGTCGTTTTGTTAGTGGTTATTCTCGCTTCAGTTATTATCTTTTTTTTCTGAAGGCCTATAGGCCTAAAGTAACTATAGAGACTACCCAGTTATACCTTTCAATTTGTTAATACCACTGTAGTTTCATTTTTTGGCTTAAAGGCACAAGTTTGGAGGTCAATTAGCCCCCAAAGAGTCACCTCAACAGACGGAAACTTTGAATGCAAGGCAGCTAGCAACCAAAATATGAAAAAAAACCTTCAAAATGCTTTTCGTTTTTGCGTTTTTTTGGCTTGGGGTGTTAATGAGGGCCATAAACAGAGATTGGGCCGTTTATGAAAAATATGTAAACCAACTTACCTTGGTCGAAACAAAAATGTTAATCCACTCTGGCGAATCTCCGTTGAGGCTGAATCGTTTTCGGGCTTTTCAATTTGTCAATCTTAATTATTTGTTTTGTTAGTTAGATTGTAGTATAAGATTTGCTTTTGGAAATTGCACTTTTGTAGCTTGTTTGGCTTTCGCTTCGCTGCTGCTGGCTCTCTCTATGGGGCTTTAGTTTGTATCTCTCGGATACGTTTCACAACTTTTGCAGCAAGTAACGTATTTTTTCACGCTCTGAACTACTTTTTCTATTTCGTTGCGGTTCGAGTTTTGAAAGTTTTTTTTTTTTTTTTTGACTGCAATTGGCTTTTGTATTTTTCACTTGGCACGTTTTGGATTTTTTGTGTGTTTGGGTTTTGGTGGTAAATCCAGTTTCCAAACTGCAATCGTTTGGCGCACTGCGAAATGTATCTTCGTATCTAGCGGATGAGTGAGTAATGCGAACTCGTACTCGGTGCTCGGTGTATCTGAGACTGGCGGAGAAGTATCTTGTAGCCTGAGTATCTGCTAGCTGCGCGTTCTCGACTGATTGCCGATCGGCCCCGAGCAGCGGGTTTTGTTGCCTGCCTCTCGCGCCAGCTCTCTGCGCATGCTCCCGCTCTCTTGGCTTCTCCGGCTCTCGCTCTCAGCTGTTTTGGCCGACAGCTGCGGCCACATTTGTAGATCGTCTTCGGGCCCGCATTTCTAAGCTGATTGAGTCAACATCCTGAGAGGTCAAAGCCTGAAAGGTTTTCGAGAACAAAAGATACACAGAACGGGGTTCTTTGTCCTGAATCGAATGTGGGTTAACTTTACACTTCTATTCAAGGATTAAGGGATTTTAGAAAACATATGTATAGGGTCTTAAAATAGTTCGTCGAGCTAATCTCCCTCTGACCCTCTGGGAGCTGTCATCAAATTTTCATTAGACTCCCTACCCCATTAGTTCACAACTCTTCGACTTCGCCCCGGGACTTGTCAACCCATTTATACACACAACTTCATTACCATATACCATTTATCAAAATCAGATTCAATTCGTTCAGTTATTGTGGCCATTAATTTCGGAGGCTCCCGGACTAATTATGCAGCCAGCGCTGAGCCGAAGAGTAATTACAGGAAATCCTTTTCCTGCAGCGCACCAAAAAGCATTTCAATGTAGAACTCAGTGGCTGTCTTGCGGCTGACACGCATGCCAAACGATTTCCCTGGCAGATCCCTGCGTATCCTTTTTAGTGGACCGGGGGGGGCCTGGCGGAGCATATGGCGTGTGGAATGGGTCAGACATGTGTCAGGGGGCTGTCAAGTGCGTGTGTTCGAATCCTTTTGCTGCTCGCGTCAACCGAGATCTGCCCGAGATGATCGAGTTACGCCAGCTTACTTGGAAAACCGTCTATTGATCGATCCTGTTCCAGGACCACGCCCCTCCCACTCCTCCAGAGGCACGCGTACGCCCAAAGAACGAAGCAGAAAAGGTGCATCCTTCAAGATGCACTCGAATTGCAGCGCAGATGTTGCACCTCCTGCCCTTTGAAGCGGTGTCCTGTTGCGATCTCAAGTGCATCTAATGGCTTGTTTATCAGCATTTCTCGATCACCGCCAAATAATAAATTGAGTAGGTACCAGGACCTTTTTTCCAAAATTGATTGCGGCGTCGCTCTAATCATTTCTAATTACGTTTCAAAGGATACTTAAGGATAAACACACAGGAAACAATTGTTTCAAGAAACTGAAATTGCTTTTGTGGATCGAAATACATATTTGTACCTCATATTATTAATTATGTCTACAGAAATTGGGACAAAAATTATTGAAAAATATTTTGGTTCTATATTTTGATGCAGATTGATAGAGAATCGATCTACTTTTCGTTTAATGTACTCCGCTTGAAATTCTGATGATTATTGGCCGAGATATGGCTATCGCGGGGGACCATATGAAGCTTCTATGGGCTTTTTAAATTTTGAAGGGGACCCCCTGGAAAATTTGACAAAAAATCTGAAAAATATTTTGTTTCTATATTTTGATGCAGATCGGTAGAGAATCGATCTACTATTCGTTTAAGGTACTCCGCTTGAAATTCTGATGATTATTGGCCGAGATATGGCTATCGCGGGGGACCATATGAAGCTTCTATAAGCTTTTCAAATTTTGAAGGGGACCCCCTGGAAAAATTGACAAAAAATCTGAAAAATATTTTGTTTCTATATTTTGATGCAGATTGAAAGAGAATCGATATACTTTTCGTTTAAGGTACTCCGCTTGAGAATCTGATGATTATTGGCCGAGATATGGTTATCGCGGGGGACCATATGAAGCTTCTATAAGCTTTTCAAATTTTGAAGGGGACCCCCTGGAAAAATTGACAAAAAATCTGAAAAATATTTTGTTTCTATATTTTGATGCAGATTGAAAGAGAATCGATATACTTTTCGTTTAAGGTACTCCGCTTGAGAATCTGATGATTATTGGCCGAGATATGGCTATCGCGGGGGACCATATGAAGCTTCTAAGGGCTTTTCAAATTTTGAAGGGGATCCCCTGGAAAATTTGACAAAAAATCTGAAAAATATTTTTTGTCTATATTTTGATGCAGATCGATAGAGAATCGATCTACTTTTCGTTTAAAGTATTCCGCTTGAGAATCCGATGATTATTGGCCAAGATATGGCTATCGCGGGGGACCAAATGAAGCTTCTATGGGGTTTTCAAATTTTAAGGATCCTCTATCGATCCTTTGAAAGGTCTTGTACATTTTTCCCTTCATAGTACACACAGTTAATCCCCGGCTTATCCACATATGAAGCCAAGCCCAAGCCAAAGCAGCTGCCAGGCGTCCAATTGCAATGTTTTCTCTAATTTTCGTCTATTGTCCGGTCAGGAATCTGAATTTGAATCTCTGCATTAGAGACGGTTATCTGAAGGCGATAAGAATCACTTTCCACAGGATGTGCAATGAGGATTGCCAAAAAAAAGAAGTGAAAAAGAAAAACAGAAAAGGATGTTTACTTAGGCACTCGTACGTGACTCTTTGAGGTAATTCCTGTATGTCCGGCTGATAATTGCCCAAATGCCGGGGATGCCTGGATATTTGCTTAGTTTGTTGTTTTTCAATTACGTGCCAGGGTCGGGATTCCGTATTTCTGATTGTGTTTGTGCATAAGTTGCCGGCAAAGGAAGTAAGGCCTCTGGGACACGATCCCATTCGATAGTTAATTTACACTTATGTCTGAGGGAGTAAATATGAAAGTGCATCTGGCTGAGGCATTGCAGCTGTGTGTGGGGAGCGTGTGCCTTCGAAATCCATATACATATATCACAAATGCCCAAAAATATCCGTCCCCCGATCGAGGGTGTCGCCATCTATTTTTAGGGCCCAACCACCCCCGAACTAAACGATTTATAGTCGAAAAATTTCAAACTCCGGCTGGTTGGATCCCTTCCAGCCAGCCAGTCATTAAACGAACAACAAAAATATACAGAAGTCCGTCTCCAAGTATAAGATAGTAATTTTTATGATCTCACCGAGGGTGGGAGGGCCATCCCCTCCAGCTAACTAATCCCGGCCAGACTCCTCTGGTTCGTGCTCGGCGTTTTATTGGCACTTTCCCCAGACTATAAATCAATAAACAGATTGTGTGGCATCTTCCGTCATAAAGTTTTCAGCGTTTTCCTTCGTGGAATTCTAACACCGGAGGGCGTAACAGCTGCCGGGGTTTATTCGGGGGTTTTTTCTCGGTTTTCTCAAGTTTCCAACTGAATCTTATTACGAATACGCTCGAATCGATCGGAAGAATCATAATAAAACCAAATCAAGTAACCGTAAATACAAAAAAAAACGCTGGAAAAATAAGACGCGATCGTAAAGAAAGAAGCCAACCCAAACATTGCAATGAAAATGCCACACAGCCTGCCAAGTGCACTGAGAAAATTTCTTACTTATTTTACTTAATTTTCATAAGAGTACTATGGTTGTTTTAAGAAAAGTTAATCAAAGGTATTGACTGATTCGAATGTTGCAAACTAACTATGGTACTAGAGTCCCTGTGATCTCTATTAGGATAAAATGTATTAGTTCTTTTAATTTCTCGTTGAAATTACAGAAATATATATATCTTTTTTTTAGTGAAAAAGTAATTCCAAGATGAGATCTGATGGGCACATCACCGGGAGCTGGGAAACCGAGCACCGAAACCGAGGAATACCGGAGACAATAGGGCAACAAGCCGCAGCAGACTTCCGCTTTCGTTTCATAAATTCGGATTAAGGCATTTTCAAATGATAACAATGAAAATAAATAAAGAGAACGGCGGTGAAGAAATGCTCCGTGAATCTGATTAACGGGCAGTAAGTAGTAGTAGCAACAAAAAGCAAAAAAAAAACCAGCACCAACGATGGGAACTTACAAAACGTGTCACGTAAATGGTTTTGTGGGCAAAGTCAAAGGCACAGAGAGCAGCAACAACCCACTGAGCTGAAAACTAAAGCAACAACATGAAACCCCAAACAACATGCTCAAGAACAAATGCCACAAATGCCACAAAAGCGGTGAGGAAAGCTCGACCTCGCGGGGCATTGTCTCCGGAAGGGAACTCTCTAATGGGGCAACATCGTTCTTTGTTAGTTAAACCACTTACAGGGATTTGGAATGGGATTACGATTGTGGGCGGAAGACCATACGAGAATTATGGGCCTTGGGATGAAGGTAAAGGGAAGTGTTTAGAGGTCTTAGGGAACTTTATATTAAGGGATTGGAAACGTTAGTTAATAAAGTTTCATAGGAACAAGATAGATACTATCTTAATATTAAAATATCCTCAAAATAAAACGTATTGTATGTCATTGTATGTCCTTAAAAATCAACCATGAAACACAATTAAAAAGTAACTTAGGAACTCAGTTTGGCAAATACAAACAGGACAATGGAAAGATGCCATCGACATTTCATAAATAGGAGCAGGAGTAGGAGCAGGAGCATCCGCTGGATGAATGGCTCGACGCATTTGGCAAATATTTGAGACTAGACAATTGCATTTCCTGTCCCGACCCGCATCCCGTTCGCCAAACAACACATGGGATTAGGTCCTGACACAGGAGCTCAGGCCCTGGAACCGAAATCATCTGTTGCTCGGGTCCGGGGGCAGGAATTAAGGCCTCTCCCGAGCGGAAACGAGAATCGGGAATCGGGAAAGGAAGGCGCGTTCGCTGTACACAAACAGGAGCTGAAAGAGACGGAAAGTGCCAGGGCGAGAAAGACAGGTATAGAAGGGCAGGGAATTGTAAAAACAAATGTTGTCAAACAACAATAACAAGGAAAAGGATGTCCTGCTGAGCGAGAAAAAGTGCGTAGGATGTTGTGCGTAGCAATTAACATTAAGGCACTGAGAAAAATTGTGAGAAGATAGGATGTATAGTGAGAGTAGGGAATGAATTTCAGGTCCCTGCTATTTCTCCGAGTGTACTTATTCCTGTCATCCGCTCGTCAGGACATGTGGCAAGGCAAACTCAGCAGGGAAACCAAATTAGTTTCTCGTTTTTGAGGCAGTGTGAAATGCAATGCAGGAAGCCGATGCAGCAGGCTGGTTTTTTGTGGATTCTGGGCCTGGAATTCCTTAAAGACCGGACCTCTATTGTCCGCTCACGTTCACTTCCCGCACAGGTATTTTACTTCCAAAATATTGCCGGTGATTAGTGACTTTTGGTCGGTGGCGATGAGGAAACGCCTGCGGCGTTAATTGTTTGTCTCGGCTCGATGGCTGGCCGATGTCCTTTGATTCGAACCGCTCTAAGCGGTTAATCTGGGCCACAGGAAGCGGAAACGGCCGGCAGTGCCAGCGACTGGGACTGAGACCGGAAGACGGAAGCCGGAGGATCAGGAAATTAGTTGGAAATTTGCCGGATTGTTGCAAATGAGAAGGATACATAAATAGACGGATTTAAATACAAGAGACTGTTGACAAAAAGTAAAAGGATGCGGCATACAATGGCACTTGTTGGAGTTGAGGTCATCTTTAGATTCAAAGATATATATTAAAGGATATATTTTTAATTAAGGGCTAATGACTTTATCGATGTAGTCTTGAGAAGCTTTAAAAACACATTCTTTCTTGTATATTTGTTGCATTTTATTGAAATTGGTTTATTGTACTTGAGGTATTCAAAAACTGCTATTATATTACTGGTATTATACTGGAAATTTCTGGAGCACTAAAACTATAAACCACTACGCGACTGGCCGAACTTATGCACTTTACCGATCGAAGACGAACGACAGCTCTTCGATTGCATACAATGCATAAATTCCGAAGGCGCGCTCTGGAGCTCAAAGCCATTTTTTGGGGGGCACCGGCGTGTCCAGGGTGCTCTCCTGTCGTTTCAGCGGGAAAATGGGCAGATCCTTGACATCCGCCTCGTCCACATAGGGTCGTTGGTGGAGCGTAACTCCGGCGGCGGTGCGGGATAGTCTGCGCCGGAATTGAGTGCCTGCCAGGAGGTAGTTGACGGGAAACTGCAGCATCCCAGGACGATAGTGGGCAATGGGGCTGAGTCCCATCAGGGTGTTCCGGCCACGTCTACTCCCGCCTCCTTCGTTTCTGTCCTGCGAGTTGCCACAGCCGGCGCACCCTGTTCCCGACTTGGTGCCGGAGTGGGCGTTCCCGGGGCAGGAGTCCACCTCCTGCCACTGACGCCCCTCGATTTTGTTGCACTGCTCGCAGCGAGAGTGTCGATGGGCGGGGAGTTGGGGGCCGCGATTCTTGCTGCGACTGCGTCCGTCACCGGCTCCGGACTTGGAAATGGAGCAGGCACCTCGGCAGTGGCCCTTGCAGGCTTTGCCGCAATTGTGGGGCGGCCGGGAGCAGAGTCCGCCGCAGTTGTACTTGCAGCGATGCTCTTGGCAGTTGGGCAGAAAGAAGTCATCCGTTGGCGGCGGGGCGTTCTGGGACCTTTGGGAGTTCTTTGACCCCTGACTGATGCGATCCGCCTTTTGGAAGTTCTTAGATGACCCTTGGAATAAACTCCTCGGATTGGAGTTCTTGGAGCCTTGACTAAAGGGATTGGACGTGTTTTCCAGCGAATCACCGGGGTCCCTGTTGTACGGATTTGGGTCCTTGGAAGGAAGAGCGAAATTGGGGTATTGGCTGTTGTCTTGGGGAAAGTTCTGCCTGGAACTTGCTGGAGAAGAAGGACCAGATTCCGCCTTACCACCTGATCGCGATCTGGGCAACGCCTTGGGTCTATTCTCGTGCATCCCCTTGCCCTTTCGCTGTTTGTTATTTTTGTTGTCCTTGTTGTCTTTGCCCTTTTTGTCTTTTTTATCCTTCTTGTCCTTTTTCCCCTTCTTATCCTTCTTTTCCGTCACCGGGCTCTGCTTGGCCTGATATCCCATGATGAAGATCTCCAGGGCCTGGGCAATCAGCATGGCAAGCTTTTCCTTGGTCTCGAAGCCCTTGCGGCATATGGGGCAGTTGCAAGTGCAGGTTGTTGCGTCCTCTTTGCGTTCCCCTTCCGGAAACTGGTTCGATTCCGTTCTTCTCGGACAAGTGTTGCGATTGCATCCCCGGTTCCCGGTGCTTCTGGAGTCGCGTCTTGCGTACCTGTCCTCAAACTCTGTAAAAAGGGTTGGGTTAACCGACAAGTTACTCTCTGAAGTGGCTTGCATTTCTTACCCGGTAAGTACTGCTCATCCATGGGCGGCCGACCCATCTCATAGCCGTAGTCGTAGCCTCCATCCCGGGGATTGTCGTATCCACCACGTTCACCATTCAAGTCCAGATACTGATAGTCCACCACACCACCTACATTTTGGAAGCCATTGTTTGGCGGATTCCATCTCTGGGGTCCTCCCATCTGTGGTCCTCCCGCTTGAGGTGCACCTCGACTAATGGCCGAGGTGAGTTGTTCCATAAACGCATGATTGTCGCAGTCTTGAACCACGATTATGTTGTAAGGATTGGCATTTCGGTCACCCGAATTATAACCTTGATTGAACTGCTGCCATTGACCTCCCTGCTGGCCGGGTTGGTACGCAGTGGGAGGCGGCGCCTGGGAAGGACCTTCTTTTTGACACTGGCCCTGGCATTGGACATAGACTTCATTCACAGCATCCTGGATCTTGGCATTGCAGTTGGTGCACAGGCATGTGTGCTTTTCAGTGACTTCCTGCTGCCTGCAGACCTGACAGACCTGCGGCCCGCACTTTCCACCCAAATGACGGGAGGGCTCCGGCACAGTAGTACTCGGCGGTGTGTCGATGGAAACGGGCTCTTCCGGCGACATGCTTTCCTGAGATGTCGGCTTCGGCGTATTATGGCATTGCCTGGAACATTCTGGCCTTCGAGCACACCGACATTTTTTGCAGGGACCTACAGTAAAGTCCGCACAATGATCGCAGTTCTTCAGGATATATAGGTTCTCGCCGGGTGGGGTCTCGCCATTGGGACACGGTTTCTTGGGGACAGGACTCTTCTGCTGGAGTTGCTGGGACGACTCGGGGGCGTCTCCTTCGCTTTTTCCTTTAAGAGATTCAGAATGGCTTTCCTTAACCTCCAGCTGGCCAGCTTCAAGCCGCTTCTGGTCCGAGCTCCGGCAGTGGCCCATAATTTTGTTGATTCCGAAAAGTTTCATTTTTTAAAAGCTGTCATAGCTTTGACAATCGTGGCCCAGGTCAAGCGATCCTCGAAGTATCAGCCCTTGTTGCACGGTTTCTTTTTGCGATTCGGGCCATTGGATTTGCTGGGGAAGGAGAAGATTTTCCTCCAACTAAAGGTGTAGTGAGGATTGGCGGCCATCCTGATGAAGGGATCCCCAAACACAAGCCGCATCACCTTCTTGGAGGAGAAGAAGTTTAACATGTTCGCCTTTTTCTTTCGATACTTTAGTTCCTTCATCTGTTTGGTCCTCTCACGTACTGGGTCCTGTGGGGTCTTACTATCGGGAGAAGGTTCCTTTGGGGCAGGGGACTGCTGCCGCCAGAGCTGTGATAACACGGAGGTAAGGTCTTCGTCGCTCTGGCTCACGTCAACATCTTCCTGGCTAGCTTCACTTGGCTTCCGGCACTGGCACTGGCACTGGCACTGGGCCAGAGTATTGTCAGACTGGCGGTCGTTAACTTCTTCCTGGCCAGCTGCACATGGCTTCTGGCAGTGGCACAGGACTTTGGGAAGCTCCGACTGGCAGTCTTCAACATCTTCCTGGCCAGCTTCACATCGATTCTGGTAATGGCAATTCGAGCTCCAGCAGTGTTCCATAGTTTTATTGATTTTGGAAAGGTTCATTTTAAAAAAGTGTTGTAATTCAGGTTTGCTTTGACAGTCGTGGCCTAGGCCATGTGATCATCTGACCCCCGACCCTTACTTAATCCGGTTGTCACTGGTTTTGCTTTAACGTTGTAGCGAGTAGAGGGTTTGAAGGAGAAGAGCTTCTTCCAGCTGAAGGTGTAGTGGGGATTCGCTCCCATCCTGACAAAGGGATCTCCAAACACCATTCGCATTAGGTTCTTGGAGGAGCAAAAGCTTGGCGTGCTCAAGGATATTGATCTTCGGCACTTTGGTTTTTTTTCTTCCTTGATTTGTTCCGTCCTCTGGCTTATGGGATTCAGGCGTGTCTGCAGAAACTCCTTTGAAACGCGCACCTTGAGAAAGCTGCTCCTATAGAAGGGGTTTATCTCAGTGCCGAAGTAGCTAGCTGCCCGATAACCCGGTAACCTCATCTGGGCTTGCACCGTGCGAGGAATTTCCAGAGCTTCCATGCAGGTTGAGGTATGAACATTAAGAGGTGATCGAAAAGACTTTGGTCCACTGTGTCCATCGCTTTCCGACCTTAGTTCATGAAGTAAAGATCGACGAGACTTTGGTGGGTCGTGGGACTTGTCTGGCTCTTCAGGAGGAGCTATCTCTGTTTTTTCAGAGTTATCTGGCTCTTCAGATGGAAATCGAAGAGACTTTTCTTTTCGATGAGATGGAGTCTCAGACTTTTCTGTCTTCACAAGAGGGGATCTAAGAGACGTGTCTGGCTGCTCAAGCTCAGGTCTAAGAGACTTGGCGGCTTCAAGTGGAGATCGAAGATTTGTTGAAGCTCTGGGGGACTTGGTAACGTTGTCGGGCGTAGATCTTTGCCCCTTAGGTGGCTGTCTATCTGCTTGACCTTTTTGTGCCTCAGTCTTCTTGGCTTCAACACTTAATCTGGGTAGTGGGTGATTAAGGGTCTTAACCGGGGAAGGATCTACTGACAATGCCGCCAGTGGAGCTGCTGACGAAGAACGTTTCTTCGAAGCTGACGGTGCTGCGGTTGCTGGCCCGATGGAAGGTTTTGTTGGAACGACACCAGCTCTGCTCTGTGGATGATTCAAAGTCGAATTCACAAGTGGCGTTGGGGTAGCGATTTTTTTCTGGTTAGGGCTTGGTGATATTGCGGGATTGGGACTTATGGCGAGGTTACGGGCTTGGCCAAAAGGGCCAAGGAAATTGCCCGAGCTTATGGGTAACGCATGATACGCCTTGGTAATCAACGCCGGGCGATGGAATTGTTGCTCTAGCCTGGAACCTAGGATATCTCCATTAAACCAACGAGGTTATATCTGGGAATGTACTTACCCTCCATATAAGGTATGGCTTTGAGAGGTTCGAATTGGGCCCGGGAAAGCGCCGCCTTGGCTGTTTTCTTCAGCGTGGAGGTCATGTGGTGACTATTCTTACCGCCCAGGCAGCGATTCTTGGACGTGTAACAGATCGTCAGATTGTATTTCTTCTTTTTTGGCTTCTTAGGACGACAGATCGGAGAATTCATCGTCTTGTAGATGGTCCGCGACTTCTTCTATAAAAGGAAAGTTTTCTGTTTAATACGAAATCAGTGTAGTTCGAGACTCACGTTGGTGGGATCAGCCATGGATCTTATCGAGGGTTTCGGCATCATAGTATTTACTCCACACAATGGACAGCACCTGTTGGCCACCGCCGAGGCACATTTCCTGCCAGCTCCTTCAGCACCAACTCGAGCCTTACACTTGGTGCACTTCCGGGAGCTCTTTCCGTTCTCGGGGCAGTTGTAGCGATAGCTCTGCACGGGTTTCTCCATCATGGTCTCGTTGGAGCAGGCGGGAATGGAGCGATTGCACCGATCACAGGATCTCGTCCTTTTCCGCGGGCACTGGCCCTGGTCCTCGAAATGCGTCTCGTGGGGCAAGACTCCTCCGCGGACGTAGTTGCCGCTGCTGCAGGTCACAGGATTTCTGAGACATTCCTGTTGGGAGCGATTGTGAACGATATAATCGGTGGGCAGGCCGCAACCATTATCGCCAGCATAGATGTCTAAAGGCGGTTTCCTCTTTTTCTCCCGGGGGGTTTTCTTCGCAGGATTATTTTTGCATTTAGGGTTCTTGCAGAGAGGAGGAGGCGGCGGCTTACAAGGCGTCGGAGATCGACATGTTCCCTTTTGGACCGGGGGTGGTGGAGCTCTCCCCGGAGGACACTTGTTCCTCACGTGAGCGTGGGCATGTCGCCGCACGGAACACTGTTGGGCGGCAGCAGTGGGAGCTCTCGTGTAGTAGGAGGGATCCGGAGGATCTGTCCGATGCTTACGACGTCCCCTGGATTCCGGTTCAGGGGACGTTCTTTGAGTGAGGCTCTTTCTCCGTTTACGGCCCGGTTCGCTACTGTAGTTGCGGTTTCGTGGGCCGGGGCTAGTACCCCGGAAGTCCTTGTACTCCATGTAATGAGATGATGAAGACCTGAGAGCCCTCTGCCCACCGCTCCTCGGACAAGAACAATTTTCGTCGTCATTCCGCTCCCGGGACTTGGATCGAGATCTAGACCGCTTCTGGGGAGGATCGCAGCCGCAGTCATTCGAAGGGTTGCTCGGGGGTCTGGGTCTGGGCAGCGGCTTGGGATTCGGTGGAGGGCAACTACAATCTTTGGACCTGTTGGAAGCATTGATATTGTCGCACGAATGCCTCGAGGACTTGCGCTTGGGCTGGTAAGCCAAGTTCTCGTCGGTATGGCCCAGCAAGGAACGATTATCGTAGTTCTGGTAATTGGAATGGCGATGTGCTGATGAGCTCTTTTTGTCCTTTTTGGTACAGGAACTCTTGGAACGCTGCGTGGGATAACCAAAGCTGTTATTGGGAGGACAGCACTCGCCACTCCTCACCACCACAGTGTTGCGAAGGAATGTGGTGTAGGGATAGTAGTCGCTCTCCTCCCCAGAAACCATCCTATCCCTGTCCGCAAGGTGCTTGAAGTCCACAAGACAGACACCACTTGGTTGAGTTGGTTTAGCCGTCAGCGATCCCGGGCTGCTGCTCCATTCGGTGCAAGTACTCTGCCCGTTGGCTTCATTCTGGATGGTTACATAATTACCCCGCTGCCTGGGACCGTAAGGATCGGCCATTGGGTACAAAATTAGGTCAATTAATAGGTTGCCTTTGGCCTTAAGAATCACAAAAACTGTTTACATTATCCACTCTACACAGACAAAAATTTGGTAGGATGTGTGATATGTGGGCTTTGAAGAACAAACAAAAACTTTAGCTTTTATTTATTTGACAAATATTTGACACAAAAATCAGTGGGAATGAACCAAAGTAGCAGGCGGAAGTACATCAGACCAGGAGCAAAGCGAATGGAGCAACTTCATCGGCCATTGAGTCTTTTGGTCGGATGAAGCTACTCCTTGATCATCGCTAGTGATCTGATGGACCTTGCCTGCCCAAAGATGAGTTAGGAAAAGGGATTCCAAGTCCTACAGGTTCACGCTGCTCTCCGTAGCTCCCCCCAATGGCAGCATGCGGCTGTAGGCCTTTTTCAGGACCTTTGAGGTGATGGGTAGGTCCTCCCACAGGCGATGCGAACCCTTCTGGTCAAGGACTGCGCTGATGGGTCTCTGGTGTCGCACTTTCGAAGCTTTCTTCTTCAGCGTTCGAGCCCGAGCTCGAGAGGAGTTCTTGGTGCGATGGGAGTGACTCGGGTTCTTGGGTGGGTCGGCTTTGGGCCAATGGAGGGGTCTTCTCATCAACAGGGGCAGCGGACTGGGATAGGGGTAGGCTAGTTCTTTGAGACCCTGACGCTTCCGTTTCTTCCTGCGACGCCCTAAGCTGGAACAGAGAAAGGTCATTGGGAACTAAAAGAGGTTAGAGGTCAGTGCCTCCGCTTACATGGGATGTTCAGCCTCGTAGACATGTCTACAGCGATTCGTATAGTCTTCCATGCTTTCAACCCTGCACGCAGCATCCTCCATTTTCGGGTCACTACTGGACTCAACCACTTCCGACTTCTTGTCGGAACCTTTGTTGTCCTCTTCCTCGTCGGAAGTGACCATGAGGTAGACGGAGTACTGCTTCTGGCGGGCATCAGCCCCGGCTCCTACCCTCAAGCAATCCGGCTGTCCCTCCTCCTTGGCCTTCCTCGCCTTCTCCTCTTCCCTGGACTCGCACATATGAGCCACCAATTGCATGAGAGAGTGCAGCATGGGATTACCATCGAGGTCCTTGATCTTATCGTTCTTCAGGAGCTCATTGAGCTTGAGTTTCCTCGAACTTGGCGAAGAGGAGCGCTGAGGAGTTCGTTTAAGAAAGTCCTGCAAATGGTCTACCCTCGTGTTGGTGCCCTTGTCGGCCAAGGAGGTGTGGCTCTGATTGGGGGTTCCTGAAGCTCTGGTTAGAGTGACGGTACTGGTCACGTTAGCCAAATCCAGTTTTCGGTTCAGCTGCTCCAAAAAGCGGCACGAAGTGCTCTTGTCTTCAGCAACAGGTTTGTTTGATTTTCTGATGGATTTCTCCTTTGGTGGATCTTGTTTCTCATCTCCATACCTGAATACCTCTTTCGGTAGCTGGATATTGGAATTGGCAGCCAAATGCATGGATGTTTCCGATTTGGCGTCCCATCCGAAGCCCTCTATCAATCGGCTGGCACATTTTCCGAAATTGAAGCAACCAGAGTGATGGGTGTTCCTTGGGGCTTTCAGATTTCTTTGATGCTGATATGTGGGTTGTTTTGGCTTTGGTGGATCCTTCTTAAGTACAGCTGCCCTGGCACCTTTCTTGGGCTTGGGTGGAACCGCCGGCTTACCTTTCACTTCCACTCGCGGCTCGTTGTATTTACTTGCCACCGGGTTTCTTCGACTTTTCTTGGTACTGAGGGAGTTGAATGATTGCAGTCCAGTGGCAACGCTCTGACCAGCTTCAGACCTCGATTGCTTTTTCAAAATACTGATGGGTAAATGCTTCTTTTGTTGCTGCATTTGGTATTGCTTGTATTGCTGTTGCATCTGAGCCTGCTGCTGCTGCCATTGCAGTTGCAACTGACTCGCCGTCGAAGGATAGTCGTAGTAGTTCCGATCCTCCTGAGGTGATTTCGGGGAATATTTAACTTCCGGCTGGGCTGCTGCTTGAGGTCGGTAGAATGTATGCATAATGGAAGCCGACTCCCTCATCGGTGTCCCATAGCAAGATCTATTCCACACGGGTTGGTAGGACACCTGCGAAGTCTGCTGCTGATGCTGCTGCAGGTGTTGCGGGTGCTGGTGTTGCTGTTGCATCATTGACTGTTGCATGTAGTTGGCGACAAAGTTGCTTAGATTAATGCCCTCCTTGGGCGTTCGCATCATCTGGCGACGCAGGCGCGTCAATCTCCGGCTGCTGGCCTCCGGCGGAGGCAACACCGCCATCCGGGGAAGCGCCCCGCCCATCTTGTTGCAAAGCGAATGCCAATATTCCGGCATCGAGGGCACCATCACGGTCCGGGGATGCATCTGCTGGGCATTAGACCACAAGTGCTGGTAGGCGGCCATCGAAGCCCTCGTGGCCGAGTGGGCCAGGGCCCTTCGTCGAACCATTTCAGCAACTATTTAGGCCTTCTCCCAAAGGACGAACTTTCGAGATTCCTGCTGACTCGTCGCTGCCGGTGATGTTATTCTTGGAGATTTTTTCTTTAGCTTGCGGGTACATTGAAAATTTTGGATGCACGTTAGGTGCCATATCTATTATGAGAAGGAGCTTTGACGACAAAGTCGAGGCCAGCCTGGAGTTTTTTATTTTTATTTCTAAGGCTTAAAGAACTAAAACAGAACCATAACACTGATAGTGACTCTGCTCCATCACGATAAGATATGGTATTTAATTCGAGTTTTTTTTATTGCTTTCTATAAGGATTTTTTACCTTTTATTAAGGGCCATTGAATTGAAAAGGTCAATGGTAACAAATCGTTTTATTTCCTAGCCATATCTCAAAATATATATTTTTTAGAAAAAAGTATAAAAAGCGAGTTATAATAGAACTTTCCATGAAGCATGAAATTCACCACCGCCATCACAGTTGCTGCTCTGGCCCTGTCGTTCTTCAATTCAATGGCATTAGCCATTTCCTGGCAACTTCCCAAATATTATAGAACAAGAAGGGGCTAAACAGAGAAAAGTTGACGAAATAAACCTCCCAGTCATGGATGATTGCTGGATTATAAGCGTTATGCTTTAAATGATTAGAAAAAGAAAATTCAGATCTTTAGTCATGGCCAATTAATTTATCCCCTCCTACAAAGTATATAATACTTTTAAAATTAAAAGCCATTAATATTGAAAATGAAGCTCTCACTGGTGGTTTTTGCAATTCTAGCTCCGGCGTTTATTGATGCCAGACCCCAAGTTAGGTGGCCAGGAGGAGCTTTGCGTATTAACCCTAAAAAATCGAAATAAAATATATATACAAAAAGAATTTGTCGAATAAATGGAATTTTTTTTAATAAAGATATTTAAGTCTTAATAGAGGCAATGGGAACATGTTATACTAGGTATATTTATTTTATAGGAGACTATTTTTTGTAGAACCAGGAACGTAGTTTCCCCATATTTTTTAATTACTATTCAATGCCAAGAAATCAGAAAGGTCAATGGTAACGAATCGCTTTATTTTCTATCCTAAAAACAATATTTCTTAAAAATTGTATAAAATAGGAGGTTTAAATTGGTATAGCTATACAATATGAAATTCACCATCGCCGTCGTGGTTGCAGCTTTCACTCTGTCGATTGCCAATTCAATGGCTAATGCCATATTCTGGCCTCCAAGATACTTTCCAATTCCTCCAGACGGCAGGCGTTGATAATAAGCTCCCAATCCCCAATATTGGTACTCTACAGGAAAATACGATTAAAATAAATACACCCCAAAACCTGTGTTAAAAGATGTTAGTTATTATTTTACCATAATGCAAAATCAGAAAGGTCAACTGTAACGAACCGCTTTATTTCTCATCCATATCTCGAAAAAATTGCATATATTCTTAATATTTTGAAAATGTGTAACAAACCTGGTTGGAATAGGTCTTAAGTTACAACATGAAATTCATCATCGCCTTCGCCGTTGCAGCTATAACTCTGTCGTTCGCCGATGGAATCTTAGTCTGGCCCAACAAGAATAAACTTCCATCAGAGATTAGTCTGGTATAGAAAGCTTCTAATTTCCGGAATATAGCTGGATTATTGGAGTAATGCATTCATAGTTATGATAAATAAAAACCCAAGAGCATGTAGCTAAATAAATCGGTGAACTGTGGGGTTCAGAATGGCCTTTTTCTCAAAAGTTTAGCGGGTTTTAAAATATAAGGGTTAAGAAAATAAGTCCTCACTTCAACTTCCATATCTTCCATATCTTATTTATATGGTAGAATATATACATTAAGAGAACCTTGACCAAGCTTATTTAGCTTATATTCGAAGACCATAAATAATTAACTTCCTTGTGATTTATATCTATGTGTGACGATTCAGATTAAGAACGTATTGGCTTTCGGTTAAACCTCGTGGTATAAAAGCGTGTATTTTCCCTTCATTTCATTTAAAATGAAGTTGACTATTTTTATCCTTATAGCTTTGGGCGTGGCCTTTGCTGATGCTCAGACTAGACCACCATTTACTCCAAAACCTGTGAAACAATAAATAAATATGTAATGTCTAATATGTTAAAAAATAAAATGTAATATTTTGAAGTATACGAATTATTAAAGATACAAATGTATCTCTCTGTGTAGCATAAAAACTTTCCACTGACGTCACGCGACTCCTTATGCGGCACTCACTCTCTGCCTCCTATTCATTTCTCTCCAACTTTCTCTCTTGTGCCACCCACGCATGATGTAGTGGAATTCCCGGCTCCACTTTCATTGAGCTGCCGACTGGAAGGCCAAACTGCGATGTCAATGGGCATTTGGAAGTTTCATTCATTACCTGGCGCCTTCCAGGATGACATTTGACTCTGTGCGTGTTCCAGGCTGCGCAGGATGGGTGGGGAAAACCGTTAGAGTAGCAGGCCTAGAAACGTAACTTCATTGAAGGAGAAGTCTATTTTTTTGTTTCAGACTCATTCGATATCCCAGTTTTATTACAACAGTATCAAATTTCGGAGCTCATTTAGAAATATTTTACACTTTTTGTTAACTTTCAATTCCAAAAATATACAATAATGGTTACTGGTGTGGCGAAAGTATTGAGGAGCTTTCAAAATGGCGCAAGTACATGGGTTAAAACCGTGAATCCCGGATGGTACGAGGCCCGGATGATGCCCATAACCTTGTTGAGGGAAAAGAAGAACAAAAGGGTAACCAGTGAGTCCACTAAAGAAGTCCGGACCGTTCGCCAACCCCCCAAGACCGCCATGGGACTTCAAAATAGCGTGCCCACAACACAATATCCATTCATTAATTGGCAGAGCAAGTAAAAAATTCATTATCATTGTAAGTAGATTTGAAGTAACCTTATTTTAAAATAAAATACCGTTGTTTTTACATTTTCAGAAAATCAGGGAAATTTTAGAAATTTGAAACAGATGTCCAGTGTTGGTGAGTGCTGGTGCAATTCAAACTTCTCGGCAGTGTTGTAAAATCTTTCTGCAGGCCCCCAGGGCTGTCTTGAAACAGATATCGAACTTTACTGACCAGCTGGTGGTACTGACGGAGAATTTAAATTTAAAAATTAGAAATATCATCCGCACAAAATTTTAATAAATGGATTTTATGGACTAAATAAAATACCTAATAAAGATTTGACGTGTACAGCAGTCTCAGTACACTATTGAAATAATGTGATATGGTTTTTTTTTCAGAAAAATGGATTTGTTATTTAGAACTCTTCAGCTTGGTTTGAAAGATTTTAATATTTTAAAAGATTTGTATTAACTTTTATGTTTTTAAAAGGTAGTACTAGCAGGATTTTCTGGCTCATCGTCTGGCAACACTGCGACACAGAGGTAGTCATTTTTGAGATAACCAGCTGCGGTCACACCGAGTTTTTGCTTCGCGAGCAGGTGGTGTTCGTCCAATCAGAATTGAAAAAATTCCGATAGCCGAGGGCGATTGCCACTTGCTGATACATGAGTATTAAAGTTAAATGCAAAATTACGCGGCGCACGCTTCGCCCACGCGTTCCGACAGTTCAGTGCAAGCAACGGGGCGAGAAAATACGAGCATATATATAATACAACGGCCTCACAAAGCAAGTGATAAGAGAATAACATAGTATATAATACAAATTCGACGTGAAAAGAAATCTCGCCAGCGAGCCAGCCAGCCACAGAAACAACAAAAAGAAGCAAGGCAGCAACGCAGACTCGGGCGACAAATGGAAATAAAGTAAAGTGATGGCGAAGAGAGGAGAGATAGAAATCGTAATGTGTAAGCGGGATCGGAGCATATGAAACGAAACGTCGCACCGAAGATTAAATAAATTTACAAGTGTGTTTTGTATTTGAGCAGCTTTTGTGATTGTTGTTGTTTCTGCGGAGGCTGGAAGAAAAGCGGAATAACAACAGCAATTTTACATGCGTGTGCGCGAGTGCGAGTGTGTGTTTGTGTGTGCGTGGGGAGCCACTATTACCAAAGATGGCCGCGTGACACGGTGGCCAAGCTACCGCCTTGGATCCTTTGCAATCAAAATGAAGTTGGCCCACTCACGCTGCCATCTCTAGCAACCTATGAGATGCGGAAGCTAAAACATATTCATGAATGGCAATTATGTGCGCTGCGGCAAGTTTTACCTTCGATTCCGAGCAGAAAGAAACTGCGCGCGTACGATTTTCCACTTTGGAAGTCGTGACGTTTTCCCATGCATAACTGACTACGTGTGTGTATGTGTGTGTGTGTTGGGGCTCTCTTTCTCTCTCTGTGTGTGAGTGTGTGCACGTCATGGCAACTCCGGTAAAACGCAAATAAGGCAGCGAAAAGCCAATTGCTGTTGAGTGGTCTAATTGGACACCTTGCGCCTTACTTGTTTATACTATTGGCGACCCGTTATCACCACCAGGTGCTTTCTCCTGTGCATGTGTGTGTGTTTTGGCGACCTGGACAAGTTTTCGCTTGTATTGTCGTCAGTCCTTTTTTTTTCCTGTGTATGCTGTCCTGACTCCTTGAAGTACCCCAATCTCCCCCACACACACACACCCACACCTACACACTCGTGCGAACTGTTGCTGCGCCCCCGCTCACTCCCAAGCCCGTTCAGATGCAAAGAACTGATAGTGTCTCGCCCTCTCTCGCTCTACCCTTTGACAATCGATGTCTTTTGCTTTTTGTTTTGTTGTTGCTGTTCTTTGCTTTGCTCCATCGTAGACGCTGCCCCCCCATCCTCCCCCCGGCTGTCTGCTCCCCTGTCTGGCTTAGGCTGCTGTGTAGGTCCGAGTTCTCTAGCCCCCCTTTTGTGCTTTCTGCTTCTTGGCTCGTTTGTTTTACTCGCCATTCCTTTTTGGCGCTTCGCGTTGTTTGTTGCTCTTTGCTTTCGTTTCGAAAAAAAAAGCCAAACCGCAAGGCCACTTACGTGGAATAGTTGTTCTTCTTAAAGATGAGCCCTCGATTAGTTAGAACCAGTTACTAAGATGGCCACCCACTCGCTTTTCAACGGAAGCGGCACCTTTAACCCGGTGACGTCTTTGGCACCCACTCCCCCGCCCCAGCCAGACTCTCCACGCTTACTCTCTGGGAGCCTGGCTCTCTCTCTCTCGTTGCGGTGACCCCGCTCCCGGTGTGCCGCATGTGCGCTGGAAGCGGGCTGGCCGCTGGAAGCGACGTCGCAGCATCGCCAGCTCCAATCTCTTCCACTTTGGAAGTTCATTCAGCTTTGACTTTTGACTCCGTATACTTCGTTCTCCGGGTCTCCGTCTCCGACTCGGTCTTATCATCCGGTAGTTCGCCGCTCACTGGCCGCTCACGGTCTCCAAGCGGCCCAACTGTTTCGTGTCTTTTGTTTGCCGCGAATGATTAATGCAAATAAACAAAGGCGAATATCGAGAACCTTTCGGAAATGTGGAATATAGTGTTTGCATTGTTCCCCCAGCTGCCGCTGCTCTCTTCACACCCACTCTCTTCGAACCCCCCCCCCAATGGCCACTGGCCCATGTTGGGGAAAAACAATTTGTTTATGTTATGTGTGTGTGTGTGTGTGTGGGGCAAGGGCGGCGGGGCTGATGTTTGATCGCCGCCTGCTTCCTCTTCTTCGCACACACTTTGCTCCAAATTGATTTCAATGAGCTTTTCTGACGGTTCTCTATCTCTCTCTCTCTTGCCCTGCCTCGCTCTGTCTCGCTCGGCAATTATGTGCGAATGTGGATGTGCAAGTGCCCGGTTTTCATACGACCTTGATGCTGTACATTAACCCATTGAGAGCCCCCATCGCCCTGTCTCTGTCTTTCTCTCTTTGGCGATCGGTTTACGGAATGGAAGGAAAGAAAACCTGTCGGGCCCTGCCTAGGTCTTCTTCTCGGCTTACACTGCACTTTAAAGCTTGGAAATGAAATATTATAATTTAACCCTAAAAGGCTGACCTATAATATTCCATACCATCCTCTCAAATCGAGGAATATTTAATAGTATTCTAGTCTAACCTATACAAAATATTCCTATTCTTTCCTATAGTATTCCATATCACCCTATTATCCTATCCTAACCTAACCTAACCTATCCTATCCTATAATATTCAATAATACTCTATCCTAACCTATAAATAATAATCCTATCGTATCCTATATCTATAGTATTCCATCCAATCTTATCCTATTCAACCATATCTCTTCGTATCTTATGATTCTCCATGATATTTTATCCCATCCTCTTAAATCCTATAATATTTAATCCCATCCTATCCTAACCTATACAAAATAATCCCATCCTATCCAATAATATGCCATCTTATACTATAATATTTCATACTATACCATAATACTTGGTCCTATTAAATTATATTCTAATTCTAACCTATAGTATCATCCTAGCCCATCCTATCCCTATCAATCTTTTATCCTATCATATCCTAAGCTCTAATATTCCATCCTATCCTATTCATTCCTTTCCTTTAATATTCCATCCTATCCTATAGTATTCACCGCATCCTCTCATATCCCATTATATTTCATATACCCCCTATCTTATCCCCCAATAAGAAATCATCCAATCCTATCCATTGTATCTTTTCCTATAATATTCCTTCCTAACCTCGAATATGCTACCATCCTACTACCATCATATCCTATCTATACTATTCCATACATCCTATCCCAACCTCTGATATTTCCTCGTATCTGATGTTTTACAATATCCTATCCTATAAAACCCCATCCTATCCTACAATACCTCATACCTACCTATAATATCCTATAGGAACTCCACTAAGAAACCCTAGAATCCTTAGAAATTCCAAAATTCGTGGGCCTTTATCGGATGATAAATATTCCATGGGCCTGCCTTTTGTTTTCTTTGAGATTCCTGCCCGAATAGATAACACCGGCCCGTTGTTTTCATTACTTGGCTTGGTATCTCAACTGTTTGCTTTCCGCCCCACTCACCCACCCACAAACCGACAGACGCGGCACGCCCACCCGCGATAACACGAAACGAAAAATAAAAGAATTCCAAGGTCAGAGAATCACTTATTTAATAATTTTCTGTTTTCCCCCCCCAAAGGCGGTAACACCAGCAGCGATAACGCAAAAGTGAAAATCGAAATGTGAAAATTCTGCGACTCGCGAGAGACCAACTATTGTGAACCGACGACGTGCTGCAATTGTGAACCAAAAGAAACAAAGATAGTGTCTTTGAAGAAACGAGAAACAAGAAGAAGAGTCAGCACTGGAGTCGCCAGGTGGGCATGGCCCACTGCCCGCCCAAAATCCGCTGGAGAGCTGCCATTGACCCCCTGAACCCAATCGGGAGCTGGTGTTGTTGTTGTTGCTCGTCTTCGTTCTCCCGGACCCGTGGTATCCGTCTCCGGATCTCGGTCTTGCCGCCCAGCCGGCGCTGAATGGCGGCAGCCGGGCAGCCGATGAACTCGCGCTCGAACTCCGCGACAAAAGAAGATGCATTTTAAGTGAATTTCCGGTGTCCATTAGCCAATTACGCAGTTGATATCCATTAGTTGATCCCCTCCGCCCCCCTCTCCCCCCGGTCCCCAAAAAAACAACAACAACAACAACAACAAATTAAACAAACAAAAGCGAGCATTATCTGCGATGGCCGCCACACCAACGGCCGGAACACCAGCTCCGCCAGCCTCCACGCCGCAGAACTACAAGGTGCCATCGACCAGCAAGATATCCGTGGACAAGCTCCTGCGCGTGGGCTACTATGAGCTGGAGAAGACCATCGGCAAGGGCAACTTTGCGGTGGTCAAGCTGGCCACGAACATAGTGACCAAGACAAAGGTGAGATTTTCTTCCGGAAGATATAGATTTTAAATAACTTTTAAGGTGAATTTATTATTTAAGAGCTTTTTTTTAAGTGTTATTACAGGATTTAGGATTGTAGATCAAGAGACATAGATGCTAAGGAGCTAGAGAGGCAGAGAGAGGGTGCAGTCCTGGAGAGGTTGGCTTGGAAGCACTATAAGGCAGTCCATTATATGATGATGATTATGATATAAGTGTAGATCTTAGAATGTTACTCATAGCTGAGAAAGTAGAATATTTATTTTTTCAATTAACAAAAGCTTAATCTTAAAAATTTTAAAATAAGGACCTTGTTTGTAACTTAATTATAAGATCATTGTATATTCTAACAGACAGTAGAGTGTTTAGCTTTCAGATAGTATTACAACCACCTTACAGATCTAATATATTATCCTTTAGAACAGTGGTCGGCAAGACCCTATTCCAGGAGCACACACACACAGTATAAACGTATGAAACGTCATGCTCTCAGTTACTAATACTAATGCATTAAAATCATATCAATGTATTGAGTGCCGACCACTGCTTCTTCTGGAAAACCCCGAGTTCTGGCTGATTTTCTGCGCATCCGAATCGATCGAGTTGACTTCAGTGGTTGTTCTTGAATGATTTTGTTTATTGCCGCGTAAATATGCCAACAATAATTATTTACACAACTTATTGACAATCAGAGGAGGCTTCATTTTCGGCATCGGCCCCAACATCTCAGATCTTTCAGCTCCCGGAGGAGGGGTTAGTCGGTAGTCGACAGATGCTAATTGAATCGCGTTTGTAAAGCGGCAGTGTGAGTGCTCTTTTCACTCACCTGGACGGGTGGTTGTGTGCGAACCTTTTGAGGAAGTAATTCAATTTCGCTTTTTGTTTCTCGATGTCATTTGCATTCGCAAATCGCTTTTTTTTATTGTCTTTTCCCTTTGAGAGCTTCCTGCTGTAAACTCCAACCTGAAGCCGATGAGCTGAGTAACTCGCAATTAATTACACTCTTTCCTCCAACCGATTCCAGTTCTGCTCTACAGCATGTTTGAATCTTGATGATTGGGAGGCTGACTCATCGGAGTATCTGCATCTTTGTATCTTTTCATCTGCGAGTGTGCGAGCAACAGCTGTGACACTCGATAATTGGGATTGTCAAGAGAAAAACTCGCACATGGCAGCCACAAAAAAAATAACAAGGAGGAGAGATAGCCTAGGGAGGAAACGAAAATGATATACCCTTAAAGGAGGTACTTGGGATGAGATATTCATTGGTTATAAAGGATATAGTTTGATGTTTCTTAGGAGGATTTCAGTAAAAGCCAAGGTAGATACGTGTAAATATATGGAATCTGAAAAAAGTCCCTTACTTTTCTCTTCCGAATCGGAAAAGTTATGTTGTAGGGTAGCTATAGGTGGGATATAGTTATCCGATCCTTATGAAAAGTTATACAATGAATTATTAAACTAAAAATGGGATCTGCAGAAAGTTTCAGCCATTTATCTTCAAAAGCACTTGAGTTATGATGGTTCTGTTCAACCGACTTAAGAACTGTCTGTAAAGGAAAGCACTTTTAGCTTGAAAACTGAGATATATTTCAAGTAGAAACCAAGAAAGCTGCTTATATTGACTGAGGAGGTGATGGTACCTGTATCACCTCCTATAAACCTTATAGAGTCGAAAATCGGAATACCCTCTCTAAGAGTACCAAGCCCCATCTAATCATTCAAAGTGACACAGTTAGGGAGGAACAAATACGAAGTGAGGCACAAACTGAGCAGCTGGAGGCACGGAAGGATGCAAATTTTAAAGGCAAACACTCCAAATGGATTTTTGCATAATTGGCGACGTTGAGGAATCTTCTAAGAGCACGTGACTCCTTCTTTTGGCTAAAAGACCATGTTCGAAGTAAACCAATTGGTCAGGAGCACCCTTAAGTCGATAACCAAATGAGGTTTTATGCCAATTGTTTGTTGATTTTTACAAAAACCCGAAGGCTCCTCCGATAAGAACACAGCTGTTTGGGCACTTCAAGGTCCAACGGTGCCCACTTATCTTATTTTCGCAAGCCTATATACCAGTATATAGCATATGTGTAGTATATACGACATTATACAGCCCTGGCTTATCGCTCCCGGGCTCTCTATCGTTTGCTAATAATTTTCTATTATCAATGGAAAATGGCAAAAGTTCACTTGTACGACTGCAAGTACATGGCGATAATGGCCAAACAATCGATAAGAAAAGGTGCCCAACAGGAGCACTACCATAACCATAACCTAGTTTAAATTTTGGGACCGAAACCATATCCACTTCAGATACATTGTTTGGAGTTCCTCTAGATCGGATAGTCAAGTGGGGGGCTTTAGTTTAATTGAATTCCAGCCGAGAGCCCCTGCCCTGGCCACTGTTTAATGCTCCAATTGATGCAATTAAGCCGCAGCCATGCAGCGCCTCCCCCCTTTTTTGTCTCTGTGTATTAACACCCCTCCTATGTATGTACATATGTATGTACCTCTCCCCCTCCCTGGCTGATGTATTTGCTGAATGATCTTTCGCTTTGGCAAATATTTAAGCTGCCGTCTGAGCGCTGCTCTTGGCCAGCAGACCGAAAACATGTTTGTACGCCCAGCACACGCGTTAGTTAGAGTGAAAGGCAGCTGGAAGGCGAGGGAGCGAGCGGGATGGATGACTCAAATCGCTTAACATTTTTTTATTTTTATTTACCTTTTCATTAACGATTTCGCGGCTTGGTAGCCAGTACTCGGTGGTGGGGGTCTGCGGTTTTTACGCCAAAAATCATGCGCACCGAATCTAGGGCCTGTCCCGGTCTCTGCTCCCGACTGGTTCCAGCTCCTATCTGTCTGAGGCATGTTGACCGTCTTCCTCTTGCCATGGCCCAAAAGAATTGGTATTTGATAACCAAGACTCTTATCAACTTGCCCTGCTTTGCTCCTCTCTTCTAGGCAAGGCAGAGAAACCGAAATCGCAAATCAGTCACGTGCCCACACCTCCCCCGCCCCATAGAGGGGAGCAAGGGGGCGGTCTAAGTCGCACGCGCCAAGTTTTATGTTCCCCGCGAGCTGCGTTGTTTGCGATTCTTTCTTCCTCCACCGAGCGATAGCAGAATTAGTGATAAAAAATCATAAACTCGAGTGTTTCCATCGCACAGGGTTGCCCCTCGATCGAGAATCAGGGCCAGAACTAGGTGGGAATTTTAGCAAGAAGATATAATAGGCTTGGGTAAGGCTATTCTACTATATTCTCCTTGGCAAGGGGGGTTAATTTCTAGAGAATATAAGGGTTAAAGGACATTTTAATATTCGACAAAGGTATAGAACTAGTTGATTAATAAATTTAATAATTTAATAATAATTAAGTCTATATTTTAGTCTACTTATATACTGTACTCTTCCCTTTCAAAATTCAAAATAGATTAGCCCGCCAAAAATTTGTGATCAGCACTTGAGGGAATGGATTATTCTTCTGCCTGCCAGGGCACTGATTAGCAGCCATAACTAGCCTCTGAGTGGTAGCACCCCCTTTAGACCCCATTCCCATTGGCAGCTAAGTAGGCCATGGCATGAAAAGCGTAATTGTTGTAATCGATTTTCCGCCGCCACAGCCAGTTGTCGGCCGGCCGGGGCAGTGGGAAAATTTTAAAATCCGTCCAAGCCAAATGGAGTTTAGTGACCCCGAGGTGTAGACCAGAGGAGAGCGGAGAGAGTGCTAGAATTGCAGCAGCCAGCTGCAGAGAGAGAGAGGTAGAGGGGGAGAAAGGTGAAAGCGAAAGAGGTCGCGCATATCGATTAAACACGTGAGGAGGGGTCAGGGGGTTGTGGCTGCGCTGGCAACACGTTTGATTACCGCGTGTAAATAACAACAACACGAACGTGCCACGGAAAGTGCAAAAGTTGCAAGGACTCGTGTCCTTTGTCGTCGTTGTGCAACAGAGGCCCGCAGTCACATGCTAGCGAAGCCCCATGGACTACCAAGACCAGAAGACGACTATTCCGGAGAAGCCCAAGCCACCGGAGAAACCCATTCGGAAGCGAATTCAGGGGAGGAGTCAGCCCAAAGCTCAGACCAGGACGCCCAAGCCCACACCCACGGCCATACTGTGTGAGCTGACGCGGCTGAAGGCGCAGCAGAAGTATCTGGAATGCAACCAAGTCAAGCTCAACCCGAAGAACTTCATGCTGGAAGACGAGGAGGACCCTGAACCCGACTTGGATGGCACGGCTCCAGAACGACCTTCGAGCTCCTCCACGGCGGCTCTGGTCAGCCAGATAAACGCCATCGAAGCGGAGAAGCTGGATCTGAGCGAGAAGCTGAAGAAGTACAAGGCAGTCAAGAGGGACGAGCTACAGGACATGTGGCACTTTGTGGCCACCATTAGGGAGGACGTGTTCCAGCCGGAGCGGCTCAGCCAGTACACCATAAACGCGCTGCGGGAGAAGATCATAGCCGTCAGCGGTCAGCTGGAGCGCCTGGGGGAGAAGAACGCCAATGAACTGGAGGCTCTCAGGAAGGAGTACGAGGTGCTGGAGCGGGAGAACAAGTTCCTGTGGAAGGGGAGCATGTAAAGAAGGGGTTTCTACAAGTTATAGTTCTTAGATCCTAAAATAAAGCTTGGGGAAGGCCCAAAATACATCCATAATTCCAGCGATGACTCTGGGTCGGTGGTGTGGGCCTCGGCACTTGTAATCAACATTTTAGACCTTGCCTTGAGTTCGCCTTTCGAATCAATAGGACCTTTTGATGCGATTTTTTGCCTTCGGCCGAAGGATTCCTAAAAAGAGGCCACCGCCACCGAGTATTTCTGCTGTGACTTTTATAGTTAGTACGGGGCCGCTTGGATTGCGATTATTTCAAAATGTCTCATTGGAGGGCCTGGTGGCCGAGGTTCACAGCGAAAGGTCAAACGGCACGTGGCAATGGCATTTTCGCTACTACCCCGGGAGGTGGGTGTACCTCCCACCACCCATTATCCACCACCCACTGCGGCGTAGTAAGCCCGAAGTTCGAGCTGCTCACGTGGCTCTGACAGAATCGAAGCTCTCGTCTCGGCAATTATGTAAATTGTCAAAATCATCCCGAAGTATTATTGTTCCCCGCCTCGTAGAGCCAATATTACGCATACGCAGTGTTGCACCGATGGGGTGCAGCAAGCGCTGCTACTGGCCAAGTTCAAAGACAGCGACGGCTAGCTTTTTATATAAATTTGTGTTGTGAATTCGTTTTGATTGAAAGTGCCGAAGAGAGGAGAGAACATAAATAAATACTTGAAATAATAGCTGGGGGAGGAAGGAATTTATTCAAGAAACCGGTGGCGGCGATGATGCCACAACAACAGACCCACTCAAAAGTGAGAGCGAGAGCGCGTGCTTGCTTGTGTTGTTAATTATTTAACATTGTGTTAAATTTTTTAAATGTTTTGCGAATACACGAAAGCAAATAAACAGTCAGCAACGGCAGCGGCAACGGCGACGGCGACCGAAAGTCGTGAGCGAAGAATGTTTCGTCTCGCCGTTGCCGTCGCCGTTGCCGCCTTTGTCCCCCTCGGAGGTCCCGCCCCCTCCTCGACTGATACATCTACCTGATAAGTCAGCTGCTCCCCTTCCGACATCGTCATCTCACCGCATCGCACATTCACATATCCGCACCGATCCCCAGATCCCGAGATCCGAACACGCGCACCATGTATGGCCCTGTCATTGTGTTTTTTCGTTGATTTTTGTTGTTTTTCTTCATGTTGCTGCCACAGGCGGTGTGCCACCTAACCATTCCACCCAACCCAACCACCCACCCACCAGAAACTATTGCAACATTGACCTGGACAATGGGCTATACGCGATATATCGTCGAGACATTTGGTTGAGAGACGAAATTAAGATGACAAGACATTTCTTTTCTTTTTTTTATAACTTTATTATTTATTTTATAATTAAATTCCTAAATTCAACTTTATTTATATTTTATTAAATGTTTTTTCAACCTTTTTTGAAAAGAAATCTATGTTAAAATATCTAAAGAAATATTTTCTTTATAAATTACCTTGGAACCTTTAGAATTTTGATTCTTTTAAGTACTAATAGAAGCTTGAGCATGATGTTCTAGTCTTTAAAGTCGAGTGAATAAAAAATTATAAATTAAAAAACAAAATAGGCATTATTTTCAAGCAAAACTTTAGGAAATTCTTTCTTTTTATTAAAAAAAGGGACTGGAGGAGTATGGGGTATCACATTGTCGAGAAAGTAGACTGTAATTGTTCTTTATTCTTTCAATTAAATTAAAACATGCAATAAGATTTAAATATAAATTTTTAACTGAAAACAACCTTATGCGTCCCACTGTCTGCCAGCCAAGCGAGGCACTGTTTTTTGTTGCCAACCCACACAGCTTGAATTTCGGTGCGGAAATCTCTGGTGTGGGTGATTCCTCTCTCGTTCTTCTCGCTCGGCTGGAAGCGTTCGTTCACCTGCCTTCCCCAAACAATCGGGAAGGAGAATGACATCTACATGCCTGCGACTAAATGCCGTTTCCATGTCTGATCGTTTCAGGTGGCCATCAAGATCATAGACAAGACATGTCTGAACGAGGAGTACCTGAGCAAGACCTTCCGCGAGATCTCGATCCTGAAGTCGCTGCGGCACCCGCACATCACGCGTCTCTACGAGGTGATGGAGTCGCAGTCGATGATCTACCTGGTGACCGAGTACGCGCCCAACGGCGAGATCTTCGATCACCTGGTCGCCAACGGACGGATGAAGGAGCCGGAGGCGGCGAGAGTGTTTACCCAACTGGTCTCTGCCGTCCACTACTGCCATCTGCGGGGGGTGGTGCATCGTGATCTCAAGGCTGAGAATGTCCTGCTGGACAAGGACATGAACATAAAGGTGAGCCAACCACATGAGTATCCGAAGAATCTTACTAACACCGTCCATCCCACAGCTTGCCGACTTTGGCTTCAGCAACCACTTCGAGGAAGGCGCCACCTTGAGAACCTGGTGCGGATCGCCGCCCTATGCCGCCCCGGAGGTGTTTCAGGGCCTGGAGTACGACGGGCCCAAGTCGGATATCTGGAGTCTGGGAGTAGTTCTCTACGCCCTGGTGTGTGGCGCCCTGCCCTTCGATGGAAAGACGATTCTGGAGCTGAAAAGCCGCGTGGTCCTCGGAAAGTTCCGCATTCCCTTCTTCATGTCGCAGGGTAGGCTCGAAGGACCATAAATCGTTGAAATAACTGAACCCCCATTTCCCTTCTGTAGAATGCGAGCAGCTTATCCGGAATATGCTGGTTGTGGAGCCCGATCGCCGCTACACCATTAAACAGATCATCAAACACCGATGGCTCAGCGAATGGCAGTCAGAGTTGCAGGAGGAGGAGCGCTACGAGGGGTTGCCCTTTGGCGGTGGAGGGCCTGGATCGGGTACCGTTTCCAAATCTGCGTCCACATCCTCGCTGGGCAGCATGTCGGACTCGCCGCCGCAGCTGGACTCGGTGGTGATGACGCACATGCTCCAACTGCCCGGCCTGACCGCCGACATGATCGCCCAGTCGGTACACGAGCAGCGCTTCGACAACATCTATGCCATCTACAACCTGTTGCAGGACAAGCTGCAGCAGCGGCGGCGCGAAAACCAAAGACTGCAGCACCACGCCAGCCTAGCGTACTCGCGATCCCGCAAGACCAGCATCACCACGGGCGTGGTGGATCGATCCGAGCCCGTCAAGCAGGAATCTCTCGACCGGCTCAGCCCCCTCAGCAATGCGAATGCCTCCAGCTCGGCCCTGGGCTTTGGCTGGTCCGATGTGGCCGTCGACTTGGAGAAGTACGGCGACTTTGAGCTCGAATGTCTGGCACGATCTAATGAGGTGAGATTCATAGATGTTGTGTAATAATCCTTGCTGACCTAGCTGACCTTTTCCAGCCTCCCGTAAACCCACAACACTTGAGCGCCCATGCCGGCGGAGGAGTCAACGGGGCGAACACGCGACGGCACACTGTGGGGCCCGGCGATGTGGCCCATGAGCAGGCACTGGCCAACCCGAATGTGCCGCCCATCGACTTCAAGTGCCCGCCCCAGATCGGCGATCCTGCACAGCCCTGTGCGGTGCCCTATTACCCCATGAACCTGCCCATGCTGCAGAACCAGCCGCTGCACAATCTCACCATCAAGGACCAGCATCTGCTCAAGCCCCCAGTGGTCATGGGTGCCAGTAAGTACTCCAATGATTAGCTTACTTTCTAAAAACTAATTCTCCCTTTTGTTCCAAAGGTTCCTTTGGTCGGCGTGCCTCGGATGGTGGCGCGAATCTTCACATTTACTATCCAGCCACGGGCACAGTTGGCGGGGCCACTCCAGGCCAGCAAATGGACACTTCCGGCTACTATATCAACCCCAACTGTGGCACAGATCCCTTGGCTGTCCAAGACTTGTCACCTTTGAACGAACAGGCCTCAGCCCAGATGTCCTGCTGTCCGGAGAACGCCACTGGAGACTGCAACGAGGAGCTGCAGAGGTTTGTGGGAAGAATGACTATAATACCAGATAGTTACAGTACTATCTTACTTTTCCAGTTATATGCAAAATCGTGGCTGTGTCAAGCGCCACACAGTTGGCTGCACTGAGGATCTATCGGTTCCGGGACAAGGTTCCCAGTCCCATGCCCCGACCACCTCCTCCAACATGCGACAGAGGAGGACGGGCTTGCTGACGGTGACAGAAAGGCCGCCAGGTGCGTAAAAGTGGCTTCCTCTGAAGGGAAACTGAGACTAACAGAAGGAGATACTAACTTAAATGTCCGAGTTATAGCTGCCTGCTCTTATGCTTTAAATTTTAAATACTTTAGTTTAAGTTTAATGTATAATATATTTTGTAGACTTATCATTTCCTTATTTTAATGGTTTGCCCTTTTGTACTTTTCGTTTTATGTATTCTTTTTGGTTTATTGCAATTGATAATTTTGCATCGCCCGCTACCGCATCGCACCAACCAACAAACCACCGCTACCGCTCCTGACCGCGCTGCTTGAACCCTCCTCCGCCTAACCCGTTCGGTCGCTAGTGATTCCGCCCGAGATCATTCGCGAGGTCGAGTCCCGGATGAACCGCGACTACCTGCCGCCCACTCTGAAATCTCTGAGCCAGTCGCCGCCCAACGGCACCTACCCCGTGGGCGTGGGTCTGTCCATGGGCATGGGGAAGGGCGTGTCGCCGCCACACTCGCTGCCTCTGGTGGCGGCCGCCGGTGGCTCTGTGCCGCTGGTGACGCCCAACAACCGGCGGATCCATCGGGTGGTTCACTCCAAGTTGCCCACCGTCCAGGAGGGTGGTAAGTCTACAGCCCTTGAACGAGTGGTCGCAGGAGGATTAAAGGGAGAATATCCAGCTTAAAGATTACCTTTTTTTGTTAACTTTGATTGCGGATCTACTTTTCTTTAAATTTTATTACTTTTTAAAAAGACATTCCATAAATTTAACTACAAATATTGGCTTTAATTAATTTTTATATTGGTTCTTTTTATTTTTCTTAAAATGATTGCCATTTAGCGACAATAGGACGCTACAGCCCGGTACGACGCGCCTCGGAAGGATCCAAGAGCCAATTCCAGGGACCGCTGCAGGAGTGCCAATCCCTGCAAAAAGGTATTGCACAGAGAAACTTTTTGGTTGCACCCAGTCCGCCGCTTTTAGAAAATTCGATCAGTCTGCCAGGTGAGGAAAGCGAAAGTGAACCCCAAATTAGGCGAAGGCTTCTTCACGCTTCAGAGCTTGCCACATAAGAGTGTGTTTTAATGCATGTTGTCCTCGCCAGGTTCTCCCATACACGGTAAGCCGGGAATGGGCTTGCCCCTGGCCCTGAGACGAGGCCACGACATCGAAGTGCCCCCGGAGGCCATCAAGAACCTAATGCCCGCCCTGGACCGCCTCGTCAAGGAGCAGCGGGTGAGCTTCGAGATCGCCAACAAGATAATCTCAACGCATGTGGTGCCGATGGACCTGGCGCCGCTTCTCGGCCTGGCGGCCCACGCCTCGAGCACGGCGGCTGTGAGCGGCGGTCACCTGGACCAGAGCCACCTGCTGCACCTCCAGCAGCAGCAGCAGATGCACAGCTTCAGTGTGTCGCCCCTGAGCCTGCCGCCGGGTGGCATCGTGAACGCCTCGCTGACCTCCGCCAAGCAGATGTTCGGCCAGCCGATCTGCGGCTACCAGCCGTACCAGCTGACCCTGGCCCTGCAGCCGCAGCAGCTCCAGCAGCAGCAGCTGGTGGGCCAGTTCAGCAGCATCAACCTGGGCGCCAGCAACTCCAACTCAAGCAGTGGCTGCCAGTCGCCGGTCTTCAGTGGCACCTGCTCGCCCAATCCCTATGTGCCCTGTCCGGGCGGCGGCTCCTCCCCGCTCCATCAGATCACCAAAGGCATCTCGGGACTGAGCACAGGCGGCGGCGGTGGCTCCATTACCCGGGGAACTTCGGCGGCCAGCGAGGGAGCTGCTGCTGCAGCGGCTGCCAACCAGCCTCTGGACCTGTCCATGGACGTTTGTGGTGGAGCCATGGAGCAGCAGCCCTCGGACTACGCGACTACCAATTGGTTCATGCCTGGGACTGCGTACTATGACGTGAAACCCTTGAATCTTTCGCCGGCGCAGCCCGTGAGGGTTGTCCCCACGCCGCCGGCGTCGCCCAACTTGTGCATCATCCAGGAGGAGAATGGCAATGGGCAGATGTGCCACACCATTAGCACCGGCACGCCGTATGCTGGGTGCACCGGCGGCATCACCCCCCAGATCTGCCTCACCGACGTCCAGGGCAGCGAGATCACGCTGGTGGCGCTCTCCTCGGACAACAGTCGGGACAGCGAGGACTCCCTGGAACCCCACACCCCTGTGATGTCCCTACAGGTGAGATTATTGGCTATGATTCTCTGAAATACCTTTAACATTTAACGCTTCTTTCAGGGTCTCATCATCACCGAACCCAGCAGCGATATGCCTTCGATTACCAGGGGGATTGGACGCAAGGCGAGCCTGGACTGTGAACCGGGCGGAGGAGGACATTGTCCAACTGCCAGTGGAAGTGTTTCGCAGCAGGTGCCAAGCCAAAGCCACTCCCAGGCCCAAACCGAAGCCCAGTGCCGGCGAGGAAGCGACAAATCTCTGGGCTTCTCCGACGATTCCCTCAGCAACGACTCGAATAACCTGTCGCCCTGCCAGGAGCCATCCGCCAGCTCCGGCTTCAAGTCAGATTCCCACTCCGAAATGGGGGATCATACGGAGTGCGGCCACTTGACACCTGATTCCATGTGCGACTCGCGACGCATGTCGGACGAGATGTGTTACGAGGTGCCGCTGCCGCACGAGTGCTCCAACTTGGACTCCACCCGCATCCTGGAGATGGTGAAGCAAACAATTGATTCCACAATGCCACCCAAGGGCTTTGTTCTCCACAAGGGCAGCATTAGCTCGGAGGACAGTGGAGCAGAGTCGCGTCATAGCAGCGTCTCGAACGCCTCTAGCTCCAACCCGTTGGCCTGTGAGGCCCTCAACATGGTGGCGACCGGCTCTGGTTACGGGGAGCCCACCACCAATCTCAGTCTGGAGTACTCCGGCGGCCTGCAGATCGAACTGCAGGTGTGCGAGGGACGCAGCCGCGATCACCACGGTGCCGCCAAGGGGATCAAGCTGCGGCGCATCTCCGGGGACCAGTTTGAGTACGGCAAGATCTGCCAGCAACTGATCAGCACGATCACCATGCAGCAGGTGGCCGGTTAAGCCACCGGCTAAGTCCCCCCGTTTTGTCCCCCCTGCCTGCTGACTAATCGCCTTGCCTAAACTCTGCGTAGCTGTGATTAAAGCCGATATGTACGATATATAGCCATCCTATGTAGCAACCCGTGTACGTGTGAGATAGTGTCCCCTTTTATCCCCTCCCGTCTTCGAGTTTGAGTAGCATAATCAAAATTTTGAATATCAATTATAGACACTTTTTGAATTGTCCTTCGAAACACGATCCTTTGATTCTTAAGTAGTTAATTGAAAGTGAGCCGGAACCTGTACATAGACATGCATATATTGTGTGGAAATCTTTCGGAATATTCGCTAATACCTTACAAACATATATCCAAACGATTCACGCACATGCCAAGATAGTTTAGAGAATGTTGGGCGACGAGAGGTTTGTTTTCTTAGCAACACAGGAGCAAGTTAATACATTCCAGTAGCAGAAATGTTCATACAAAGAAACCGACGTACGTGGTAGTTGTAAAGAGTATCTGTATTTAGAATCTAAACCATATATCAACTAATGTTATTTTCGACTCTTTGTGCAATTTGTAAACGATATAAAAGTGTTTATTTTGTCAACTCAGTTTAGTAACGATACGTAACGGCGGTACGTCTATATCCGATCCGATACCTGGATCCGGATCTGGATGGGGGCCGACCTTAATGTTAATGCATAGGTGATTACAGAAATTCGTAGTTAGTTTTCACTGGCAATTTTTAGCTCCAATTAGTGCTAAGCTAAGCTCTTGATTCCGTTAAATTTTAAATATTTCGTACGATTATAGTGAAAGTTTGTTCAGTTTTATTATATACACACACGATCTACGGTTAGAGATATATTTTATGAATTCAACACAAAATTGAGAAATCTATTTTTTAATGAAAGACTGCTGTGATTTTATATATAATTAATTTAAAGCATGAGATAGAGGAAAACAAATACAAGAAACAACAAACAAATTTGAAACCAATTAGTTATATCATTATATAATAAATAATTCAACTTTATCTTAAATAAATTACCAACTCTCCAAACATAAGCCTGAGTTTTAATATTTTCTGGAAATTATCTAATGGGAAAAAAATAATAGTATCTTTCTTATCCACAGGAACCTTTAAAATTTATCCAACAGATTGCTTAACATTCAAATAACATTATGTTAGAAAACATGACATCAACAACAGATGGCGCAGTGTATGCGCTAGTCTGCAAGCGCGCGAGATTTAAAATTCGATAACTGCAATCTTGAAAGGCTCTGCCCGGTTCGCTCTTGCTGAGTGAGGTTCGCTCTGTCTTGATTAGAATTTGTTTACTTCCCCTGCTACCACTCCTACTTGACCATACGACCATTTTTGTTGTTGACAAACAAGGTAAGAAATATTCAACTGGCAATGGAAAAAACCCACAAACCCACACGATAGAAAACAATTTTTACGTCTTGGGTTACAATATGTAATAGACACGAATATTTTCCTTAGAACGCCCAGACTGTACTTTTTACAAAATGAAAATTCCATTACATAGCTGTTTATCCCCAATAACCTTCATTATTTGATATAATTCCAATTCGGGCTCCATTCCGGCTGACATTTGTTTGGTTTCTGATCGCGAGCTGTGCCCATCCGACACCAAAACCCACCGCTTCCATCCGTGTGACCAGCTGAGAGCCATTCTTCAATGGTGTGCAAATCTCGGGAAGACTCACCCACACAGTCTAACCAATTCTTCCGCTCTGCTCTCCCAGTAAGAGGCTCGTTTCGTGTACGTGTACGTGAGAGCTGCGCCACCTAAAGTAGTGTGCGTGAATGGCAGGCCCTCACAAACACCATCACACCTTGCGGCGCTCTCTTGTTTCCGCCCTCTTCTGTCCGTGTGGGGTTTCCTCTGCTTGTGTGTGTGATTTCGCTCAAAATACCACTACTAATGTAGGATTTAGTGCGCTCTGTGCTGATTTTGTTCTCTGTTTACAAATTTTGTTGGTGGAGCCGGCAGAAGTCCAACTGGAGCGGGATCAGCTGTTCCACCTCCCGGAAATACGAATCCTGAAGGGATTCCACCTAGCCGGACAATTACAATTTTGAATAGCAATGAAACTGTACTTTTTTCCACTAAACTTCTAGAATTATTTCATCACAAAGTCCAGACTTGGGCGAGGCCAACTGCATGGAAACAAAATATAGCCTCAATCTGGTTCTATAGAGCCCCCCTGCCTTGTCAGAGCTTCCTCTGGCCCCTTGGCCCCCTCTAGCAAGTACCTAACATGTTTATTATTCCACACGCTGAACGACAGCACACCCGATAAGGTAGCGCTCGCTCTCCGTCTCTGTTGCTCCCACTCACAATCACGACCCGACCGGGTATAAAAGGCGGCTGCTTCGCTCAAAAGCATTCAGAAATCAACAAGTGATCCAGCAGCTAGCAGCTACAGCTATCCAGCTTACTTCCTACAAGTCTCAATCCAATCAACCTCAATTGTGCAAGATGCGTCTGGGACAGACTGTACCTAACTTCAAGGCCGCCACCACCAAGGGCCCCATCAACTTCCACGAGTGGCAGGGCAACTCGTAAGTAGCTCCCTCCTCCTTTAACCTCAGAGGAGACTCATTTGTCTCACCTCACAATCAATAGGTGGGTGGTGCTCTTCTCCCACCCCGCTGACTTCACCCCAGTGTGCACCACTGAGCTGGGCCGGATCGCGGTCCACCAGCCGGAGTTCGCCAAGCGGAACACCAAGTGCCTGGCCCACTCCGTCGACGCCCTCAACTCGCACGTGGACTGGGTGAACGACATCAAGAGCTACTGCCTGGACATTCCCGGCGAGTTCCCCTACCCGATCATCGCCGACCCCACCCGGGACCTGGCCGTCAGCCTGGGCATGCTCGACGAGGAGCAGAAGCGAGACCCCGAGGTGGGCAAGACCATCCGGGCTCTGTTCATCATCAGCCCCGACCACAAGGTGCGCCTCTCCATGTTCTACCCCATGTCCACTGGACGCAATGTCGAGTAAGTCCTAAATGGGAGTTCCTTTGGTGTATCTTCCTCACTGATCTTGTGTTCCCACATCCTACAGTGAGATCTTGAGGGTTATCGACTCCCTCCAGTTGACTGATCGCCTCAAGGTGGTGGCTACCCCCGCCAACTGGACTGTGAGTATTTCAGATTGTTGCTTCAAGGGAATCTATTCTGATTTATGATTTCTCCTCCAGCCTGGCACCAAGGTCATGATCCTGCCCACGGTCTCCGACGAGGAGGCCCAGAAGCTGTTCCCCAAGGGCTTCGACAAGGTCTCCATGCCATCGGGAGTCAACTACGTTCGTACAACTGAGAACTACTAGAAACCGATTTCTATTTTCATTTCAAACCTTGTTATCACTACATCACCATTACACTTGTGCCATAAAGTAGCAATAAAGATTTAAATTAAACATAAACTACCGCAATGCACTTTTTAGTTAGCTTTGTTTATTTGGAGACAGGTTTCCGTCGACATTGGCAGCATGTATCGGCTGAAATAATAATTGAAACTTGAAAGTTACGCAAAGCCCGATTCCAGTTTATTTTTTTTTCGAAAAAAAGAACGAACGGGGTTAATCGAGTTTCATGAATTTTCCTTTTCATTCTGTCTATAAAGGTTATTAAAACCCGTGAAGAAGGTAATATAATTATAATCATCTATTAAAACTAGGTTCCAAGCTTAATTCTCTATACCATATCATATCATTTAAATTCAATTAAATATTCTAGGCAGGTAAAACTTCATTAAGAACAATTTAAAACAATTTGTTTTCTAATTTAGCAACAATTGCAAAAAATTTAATTTAATGTCATTAAGATAATACTTAAATTGGCATTGTTTAACCACTTAGATTAATAGACGCAAATAAATGGAAACCCAAAACAAAAAGGAAAATGGACAAAAAATCGAAAAAATATTTCTTCTCAGGATTTTGATGCAGAATGGTGGAGAATCGTTCCAGAAATCGTTTAAGGTACTCCATTTGAGAATCGGATGAGAATTGGGAAAGATATAGCCATCACTGTGGGCCCTATAGGGGAAAACCCCATTTTCAAGGTATCCCCTCAGGAAAAATGGACAAAAAATCGAAAAAATATTTCTTCTCAGGATTTTGATGCAGAATGGTGGAGAATCGATCCAGAAATCGTTTAAGGTACTCCGCTTGAGAATCGGATGAGAATTGGGAAAGATATAGCCATCACTGTGGGCCCTATAGGGGAAAACCCCATTTCCAAGGTATCCCCTTGAAAAAATCGGAAAAATCAGGAAAAATGGACAAAAAATCGAAAAAATATTTTGTCTCAGGATTTTGATGCAGAATGGTGGAGAATCGTTCCAGAAATCGTTTAAGGTACTCCGCTTGAGAATCGACTGAGAATTGGGAAAGATATACCCATCACTGTGGGCCCTATAGGGGAAAACCCCATTTTCAAGGTATCCCCTCAGGAAAAATGGACAAAAAATCGAAAAAATATTTCTTCTCATGATTTTGATGCAGAATGGTGGCGAATCGTTCCAGAAATCGTTTAAGGTACTCCGCTTGAGAATCGGATAAGAATTGGGAAAGATATAGCCATCACTGTGGGCCCTATAGGGGAAAACCCCATTTTCAAGGTATCCCCTCAGGAAAAATGGACAAAAAATCGAAAAAATATTTCTTCTCATGATTTTGATGCAGAATGGTGGCGAATCGTTCCAGAAATCGTTTAAGGTACTCCGCTTGAGAATCGGATGAGAATTGGGAAAGATGGTTATATCTTGGACTCACTGTGGACCATATAGGAACTGACATATAACTGAACAATCGGAAATGACCCTTCTTTCGGGTTTTTTGAAGATAGAAAGTTGGAAGTTGCTACAGATTATTATTTGGGCATATCAACTTCGGTTCGTCCAAAGTAAGCTTTACTTTCTTGTTTCATTTTAAATAAGGTTTTGCCTCAAGCTGTTTAGAATTTCGACGTCCGCCTTTTGGTAATAATTACACTCTATACAAGCTGGTTTTTTAAATAAAAATATATATTTATTGCTACTTTATGGCACAAGTGGTGATGGTGATGTAGTGATAACAAGTTTTGAAATGAAAATAGAAATCGCTTCCTAGTAGTTCTCAGTTGTACGAACGTAGTTGACTCCCGATGGCATGGAGACCTTGTCGAAGCCCTTGGGGAACAGCTTCTGGGCCTCCTCGTCGGAGACCGTGGGCAGGATCATGACCTTGGTGCCAGGCTGGAGGAGAAATCATAAATCAGAATAGATTCCCTTGAAGCAACAATCTGAAATACTCACAGTCCAGTTGGCGGGGGTAGCCACCACCTTGAGGCGATCAGTCAACTGGAGGGAGTCGATAACCCTCAAGATCTCACTGTAGGATGTGGGAACACAAGATCAGTGAGGAAGATACACCAAAGGAACTCCCATTTAGGACTTACTCGACATTGCGTCCAGTGGACATGGGGTAGAACATGGAGAGGCGCACCTTGTGGTCGGGGCTGATGATGAACAGAGCCCGGATGGTCTTGCCCACCTCGGGGTCTCGCTTCTGCTCCTCGTCGAGCATGCCCAGGCTGACGGCCAGGTCCCGGGTGGGGTCGGCGATGATCGGGTAGGGGAACTCGCCGGGAATGTCCAGGCAGTAGCTCTTGATGTCGTTCACCCAGTCCACGTGCGAGTTGAGGGCGTCGACGGAGTGGGCCAGGCACTTGGTGTTCCGCTTGGCGAACTCCGGCTGGTGGACCGCGATCCGGCCCAGCTCAGTGGTGCACACTGGGGTGAAGTCAGCGGGGTGGGAGAAGAGCACCACCCACCTATTGATTGTGAGGTGAGACAAATGAGTCTCCTCTGAGGTTAAAGGAGGAGGGAGCTACTTACGAGTTGCCCTGCCACTCGTGGAAGTTGATGGGGCCCTTGGTGGTGGCGGCCTTGAAGTTAGGTACAGTCTGTCCCAGACGCATCTTGCACAATTGAGGTTGATTGGATTGAGACTTGTAGGAAGTAAGCTGGATAGCTGTAGCTGCTAGCTGCTGGATCACTTGTTGATTTCTGAATGCTTTTGAGCGAAGCAGCCGCCTTTTATACCCGGTCGGGTCGTGATTGTGAGTGGGAGCAACAGAGACGGAGAGCGAGCGCTACCTTATCGGGTGTGCTGTCGTTCAGCGTGTGGAATAATAAACATGTTAGGTACTTGCTAGAGGGGGCCAAGGGGCCAGAGGAAGCTCTGACAAGGCAGGGGGCTCTATAGAACCAGATTGAGGCTATATTTTGTTTCCATGCAGTTGGCCTCGCCCAAGTCTGGACTTTGTGATGAAATAATTCTAGAAGTTTAGTGGAAAAAAGTACAGTTTCATTGCTATTCAAAATTGTAATTGTCCGGCTAGGTGGAATCCCTTCAGGATTCGTATTTCCGGGAGGTGGAACAGCTGATCCCGCTCCAGTTGGACTTCTGCCGGCTCCACCAACAAAATTTGTAAACAGAGAACAAAATCAGCACAGAGCGCACTAAATCCTACATTAGTAGTGGTATTTTGAGCGAAATCACACACATAAGCAGAGGAAACCCCACACGGACAGAAGAGAGCGGAAACAAGAGAGCCCCGCAACGTGTGATGGTGTTTGTGAGGGCCTGCCATTCACGCACACTACTGTAGGTGGCGCAGCTCTCGCGTACACGTACACGAAACGAGCCTCTTACTGGGAGAGCAGAGCGGAAGAATTGGTTAGACTGTGTGGGTGAGTCTTCCCGAGATTTGCACACCATTGAAGAATGGCTCTCAGCTGGGCACACGGATGGAAGCAGTGGTTTTTGGTGTCGAATGGGCAGAGCTCGCGATCAGAAACCAATTCACTGTCAGCCGGAAAGGAACCCAATTTAGGATCAGACCACAATAATGAATATTTTGGATATAAGCCCAAATCGTGGAATGCTCAAAAGGAGGAAAGTATTTTACAAGTACAGTTGTGAGTTTCGAAGAAAAACGCTTGGCAGTTGAACCTAGTATACACAGTTTTGTGGGTTTTTTCCATTGCCCGTTGGTTATCGTATACTCTGATGTTGTTTTTCAACAACAATATGGATTTTGTAATCAAATGAGAAGGAAGATCGGGGTCTTGCGGGGGAGAACGAGAAAGAAAGGCCACGTGCTCTGAGAGCGAGGAAGCAATAAGTGAGTGGAGAGGGGAAGAATGTAGAAGGCCGAGAGCGAATCGGTTTGAATTTCGATAGAAAATATATTAGAAAACCGCGCAATGTTATCGAAATTGATTCTCCGCAGAGGACTATATAAGCCAGCATCGGCTCAGCACTTTCAGTTTTAAGCTTCCATTCATTTCAAAGAATAATTATTAAAGAAAGCAACTATGGGCCCCACATCCCAGTTTTTGAAAGAGCTTCCTTCACTTGTTGAATCCTATGGCGGAAGAGACACCTTGTTGGAGGCGCTCTGTTACGGAGCCAAGCTGGTGGCCGGCTTTCATGCCAACAGGAATCCTGACCTGGCTCGAAGGTGTGACACCGCCAGCACCAAGATCTCGGGGGCCAGAGCCACCCTCCGCCTGATCGACGATCTTCCCCAGATCCAGTATACCCTGGACTACGGCCTGGGCAGAGACGAACCTGATCGAATAACGGCCGTTCTGGGGGTGATGTCCAATGCCGTGGACCTTCTGTTTTATCCCATCGAAACAGTCTGCTGGCTGGCCGAGCACAAGATTGTGGATGTCAGGAACAGGAACACCTGGGCCTACCTCAACTCTATTTTCTGTGTCCTCTCCGCCTACCTCAACTTCGTGAGGACTATGAGAAGATTATCCCTGAACCGGGAAAGGATAAACAGACATGATGTGGTGTCCGTTGCCCGCCTTCTTCTCGATTGCATCCACGCCGTCAACACCTTGCCCAGGGGCAACCTGTGGGGCGGAAGGCTCTCCACCCTCCAGGTGGGAGCTATTGGAACCCTGTCCGCCGGCCTGGGTATATATCAGATAATAACCAGCAGGAAAAGTAGATCATAATTGCCACAAGAGTGTAGATTTTAAGGTACAAGATCGAATTTTTAGTTGCCATTAAGTTATTAAAATTATATAGATACTAAAATGTATATTTTGTAGTATGTATATAAAAACAAAATAAAACAAATATTGATATTTTAAATATTGGTTTCTAAGGTGTACACCTTTCTTTTTATTAACAACTTGGAGAACTGTTACTTAGAAAAGGCAAAATTTATTTAAAGAATCAATGGTATGGTAGTTTTCTGGTATGGTATGGTATGTGGAAAAACGATTATTAAAGGCCCATTTTCATTTAACCAAAATCTATATAACCCATTTAGGTAATAATGTTAACCACATTTTTAAATTCCGCTGTGAAAATACATTTTTTTTAAGACAAACTATGAAGATAGGATTTGATTTTAAATGGAAAGCTTTGAATTTTGTTTTATTTTATAAAATTTGTACATATATTCCTATATTTAAAATATGTGTTTAGCCTTCTTTTGTTGCCTTTAATTGGCGTATTTAATGACCCTTGGAAATTCTCCCACACTTATTGCTAAAACAAAGTATATCCTTGAAATCATTGAAGATGGTTCAAATCAAAAGAATATCCTTATTATAACAGTTACTGTTATTTTTGTGCTTTAATGATAACAGCTCCTTAAAATTGTTCAAAAGATGGCGCTCCACCTTCGATTGTCGATAACTTTTTAAGGTTTAAGGGTATCGGTATCAACCATTTTGAATCGGACCCGTTTCGCTCCTGGGTTCGGGCTCTTTCTTACTCCCTCACTGCTTGTCTTTCTCCTCTCTCCAGCAACAGACCTTCTTCTCTCGCTCTTCCCCGCAAAATATCAATCTTCTGCCTCTCTCGGCTACAAATTCCATTTTGTTGTTGACAAACAACACCCAAGGAAATGATAACCAAATGCCCGATGGAAAAAAACCACAAAACTACTAGAATCTAGCGTTTGGGTTTCAGATTGTAATAGAAACGAAGATTTTCCTTTTAAAGTAGCGACTGTACTTGTAAAACGCTTCCCACCTGTTGAATATTCCACGATTTAGCTCTGTAACTAATATTGTTTTCATTATTTGGATCTGATTCCAATTTGGGCTCCTTTCCGGCTGACAGTTGTTTGGGTTTTGAGCCAGAGCTCTGCCCATCCGACACCATAGCCCACCGCTTCCATCCATGTGACCAGCTGAGAGCCAATATACACTTGTATGCGAATCTCGGGAAGACTCACCCACACACTCTAACCAATTCTTCCGCTCAGCTCTCCCTGTAAGAGGCTCGTTTCGTGTACGTGTACGCGAGAGCCGCGCTAACTAAAGTAGTATGTGTGAATGGCAGGCCCTCATAAACACCATTACACGTTGCGGCGCTCTCATGTTTCCGCTCTCTTCTGTCCGTGTGGGGTTTCCTCTGCTTGTGTGTGTGATTTCGCTCAAAATACCACTACTAATGTCGAATTTAGAGCGCTCTGTGCTGATTTTGTTCTCTGTTTACAAATTTTGTTTGCGGAGCCGCGAAAAAACAGCTGTTCCATCTCCTGGCGTTATTAATCCTGTAGGAATCTCATTAGGATCGAATGTTTTAAATCTTATTATGAAGCTGAAAACAATAAAACTGAACTTTTTTCCATAGGGTTTCTAGAATAATTTCATCACAAAGTCCAGAGTTGGGCGAGGCTGGCAGTTAGATTTCAGGGAAACTAAAATAGAGACCTTGTTATAGGCCTTCAACCTCGGTTCCCCCTCAATAGCCATTGCGTGGAATTACTTCTTAATCTAGACTCTTGATTCTATCCACGACACCCTACATGGATAGTATAAACGTGCGATAAGGCAGCGCTCTCCGTCTCTGTTGCACCCACTCAGCAACCCGAACCGGCCGGGTATAAAAGACGGCCGCTTCGCTCAACAAGCATTCAGAAATCAACAAGTGATCCAGCAGCTAACAGCTACAGCTATCCAGCTTACTTCCTACAAGTCTCAATCCAATCAACCTCAATTGCAAGATGCGTCTGGGACAGACTGTACCTAACTTCAAGGCCGCCACCACCAAGGGCCCCATCAACTTCCACGAGTGGCAGGGCAACTCGTAAGTAGATCCCTCCTCCTTTAACCTCAGAGGAGACTCATGTGTTCATCTTCACAATCAACAGGTGGGTGGTGCTCTTCTCCCACCCCGCTGACTTCACCCCAGTGTGCACCACTGAGCTGGGCCGGATCGCGGTCCACCAGCCGGAGTTCGCCAAGCGGAACACCAAGTGCCTGGCCCACTCCGTCGACGCCCTCAACTCGCACGTGGACTGGGTGAACGACATCAAGAGCTACTGCCTCGATATTCCCGGCGAGTTCCCCTACCCGATCATCGCCGACCCCACCCGGGACCTGGCCGTGAGCCTGGGCATGCTTGACGAGGAGCAGAAGCGTGACCCCGAGGTGGGCAAGACCATCCGGGCGCTGTTCATCATCAGCCCCGACCACAAGGTGCGCCTCTCCATGTTCTACCCCATGTCCACTGGACGCAATGTCGAGTAAGTCCTTAATTGGAGGTCCTTTGATGTATCTTCCTTACTGATCTTGTTTTTCCACATCCTACAGTGAGATCTTGAGGGTTATCGACTCCCTCCAGTTGACTGATCGCCTCAAGGTGGTGGCTACCCCCGCCAACTGGACTGTGAGTATTTCAGATTCTTACTTCAAGGGAATCTATTCTGATTTATGATTTCTCCTCCAGCCTGGCACCAAGGTCATGATCCTGCCCACGGTCTCGGACGAGGAGGCCCAGAAGCTGTTCCCCAAGGGCTTCGACAAGGTCTCCATGCCATCGGGCGTCAACTACGTCCGTACCACCGAGAACTATTAGAACTAGTAGAATTTTGTAGAGTGTCTCTGAACACCCCGTTCTTCAATGTGCCATAAAGGAGAAGCAATAAACCCTGTCTTGCATCCTTAGAAAAGCCTGGTATTGTGTTTGGGGGAAGCTTTCTCTATTGGCCCGGCCCGGAGTGTGTCCAGAGCTTTGATTGCAAAAGCTTCCGCCAGAAGCAGTTGCCGAACAGCTGATTTTGATAAGCGCCCACGCCGCCCCTCCGTTCCCTTGGCTTTCGCTTTCGTTTTCGCCTGCCGCCTTCGGTTTGGCGCTCCGGCTCCGTCTCCGGCTCAGTTCAAATTTAGCAATGCGCGCGTGCGGTTGTCCACCGGGCGATAACGAATAACGGTTAACGGTAAAAAGGCAGCGACACCTGAGGTTCACTTGTTAGTTTGTTTGTTGGTCGGCTGGCTTGTTTGTTTTATCGGCTCGGTGTTTTGGGTTTTGGGACTGCGATTCGGCGGGGGCGATTCGAGTGGAGTGTCGCGGCGTGTTCTCGCATTCTGACAAAGTGCACACCTTGGAGGGAAAACTTTTCCACACATCCCCATACCAGACCCAGACCCAGACCCATACCCAGACCCAGACCCGGGGAAAAACTTTCACCGCTGTTTGTCCTGGGCTCCCCGCGGTGCGTCATGTGCGTGTGTGTGTTCGGGGGAATGTGCTCCTCTAATCCAAGCATGTGAAGCTGGGAACAAATCATCTCCAGCACTATTCCCGCTCCAATCCTCGCGCCTCCCTCCGACCTCTGCTCTCAAGTGATCTGATCGCTAGTGCGTGTCCGACCTCTGTTAACTTGAATCAAAAGTTTCCCGGCCCGTGTCCATGCAGCCGCCAAAGTGCCAGTTGAAACGGTAAATGCAATAACAGACGCGACGCTAAACTTTTTTGGCCTGGCCCAAAACTTGCCGCCAACTGTCCTCATAAAATATGCCAAGATATTTCCATCCCCGCCGCAAACTTTAGCCCCCCCCTCCCGGCACCCGACCGGTCATCAAAGTGTTAAAGTGCCATAAAAAAGGTAAAAAAATAAAACTCCCACGACGCTCATTGAATAATGCATTCAATTACGGATGTCACAGAAGAATAAAATAAAACAAACATTTGCATATATGACCGAAAAAACAAACGCTTTTAATATGCTGGGAATCATAAAGGGACTTCCGAATGTTACAATTTAATATCAGCATTGGTGTAATTAATATTTTAGGGTATGTTTCATAATTAATTGTTTGTCAAAAAATGTTTGTCAGAATGATAAAGAAAATGTGTCTCTGTTTTATAAACTTTTTAAAGGAAAAAGGTCCTTAGTCTTTAGGGATATTAAATTCTATAGCATTTAAATAGCATTATGTTTATAGCTTATTGTCTAAAAAGAGGCCCATTATACTCAAAATATATATAAAATTCTAATATTAACCAGTTATTCTTAATGAGGCCCCACTGTACAACCATCTCGCGTAAATGCCAACTAAGTAAACCATTCAAATATAATTTTCGGCTTATCTCAGATCATTCAAATGGTGAAAAAAAAGGTGAACCCAAACAACGACAAAATCCCATTGAAATTGTAACTGTTAAATTGAAAGTCAGCTAAGGGACTAAAGCCGTTAGAATCGGATGAGCGAGGGAGGCAGTCAGACAGTTAGACAGACAGTGAGAGATCAGACTGCCATAAGGCTTAAAAATTTATAAAACGATTAACCAAACTTTTTATTTTGTTTTTACGTTTTTTAGGAGGAATGTCCTTTTGGCCCCTATTTCCCAGCACTTCATGAAATGTTAATTTTAATTAAGCGACGCTGCGACGCAGCTGAGCTAAGAAGGGCAGAGGAGTCCATGAAAAAGGAGATGGAATAAAAAACAGGATTAAGGCGGCGAATTACAGTACTTTGGGGGTGGGGGATGTGCTAAGGACAATGGTTAAACAATAAGTCGGCAGTTGATGATGAGCAGGTGTGTCAGGAAATGCGGATATCCTTGTGAGTCCTCACTCCGGAAAGCTCGCTGCCGGAAAAGCGGGTCAAGTTTTTGTTATAAAATATTCCAAGTGTCACTAAAAAAATATATAGTATGTATGTACAAAAAAAAAAATAAAATAAAAACGAAATAAAACAACGAAAATAATAATAACAAGTGGTAGGAAGGAGGGGCGTAAGTGGCGCCACCGCGGATGCGGCTTGTTTAGCAGCTCCTGGGGTCCTTTAGTTAATACTTGTGCAATACCAACAACAACAATATAGACAACTGGCGACGACTTCTTGCGGGACATTGTTTAGGCCAAAGAATAATAAAGGCCAAGAGAAACAAAGGCGACAAGAAAGGCCTGCCCCTTGCATTTTCCGTGTTGATGAGGAGAAAGTGGAAACTACACATGAAAAAATAATAAAATATATTTTTTTTTGGAGAGCTTATATAGTTCTAATAAAAGCTGTCTAGTTTTATTCATTTAGGACTTATTGTCATTTCTATATGTATATTTTCTCTCTGTGTACAAAAGTAAGGTTAGGCCAAAAAAAAAACGAGACACGCGAAAGGCTTAGAAGAACAGGTCTGGGCAATTACTGTTGATGAATACACCCACACAAGGGCCGACGCACTCACACAGATACCAGTTGATATAGAAAATATGAGTTTGAGTTTCCGACCCCAACCCCAACCCCGTTCGGCACGCAAAATGAAGGTTTTCTTGTCTCATTTTTTTGTTGTTGGAAAATAATGGAAAGCGTCCCTCCATCCTGTGCATGGAAAACAATAATTTGTTATCTGGCCGCTTCGAGGACTCCTCCGGCCCACTCCTCTAGGCCCGAGAGAAGAGTCTATAAATCACAAAAACCTAAAATTATCCATCTATGCGTGGGCTAGCAAAGCGGTTTTGTGTGCCCGAGAATGAACATAATTAAGACATTATGGGCCTGTCGATGGGTAGTTGGGGAGCGGAGCTCCTTTTCATATCATCTCGCACACAAATAACAATGGAAAACCTCATTTAATGTGGTGGCAATCCCATAAATAATGATTAGAAATTAAATGGGTTTTCCCATGGAACAGGAAATCGTTCATTTCACCAACAAATATATTGCCAAACTAGAAAACCAGAAATGGGGATTACTTGGGGTTTAGATTTGTTAATTTTAAGTTGAATTAAATAAAAGATTAGATTTTCGAATTGGTTTCAGGCGTAAAAGATTCATTGAAAAAAAGTATAGCATACTTATGGGATGAAATTTAATACAATCATCCACGGCCTCTTGCTCTTGGTTCTGGAATTAATTTTAATTATAACCATTTAATTTATATTATTTAAACTATTTTACACACAATAAGTAGTCTTTAGGGCAGTAAATGGATTATCAGTCAGTTGGAAAATTGCTTTACTTATCCAATAAATATGGCAAACAAGCCGCCTATATTTAAATTTTATATTTTACATCCCAGTAGAGATTTCTTCTAAAAACTTTTCTTAATTAATGCCACAGCCAAAAAACTATAAATCTAATTGAAAACCTAATTTAGCAGCAGGGAAAAGAGCCCGGCACAGACCCAGGCCCAGACAGCTGCTGTGGGGAAATTTGTTTATTTCGCCAGCGTTAATTTGCCGTAACTAATTAAAAAACACTTTAAGTTAAATATTTCCCAGCTACATAAATATGCCAATGTTGAAGAAGGCGAAATTGCCGGCCGAGATACTGTGGCGCTGGCGCGGAGAAGCAAATCTAATTAATGTGCGAAACAAAACGCTCAGGAAATTTATTTAGCGCTTACGAGTCAGGAGGAGGATCTTGGTGGGATAACCTGGCCACGAGTGTCCTTGCTCTTGTCCTGGGCCCCGGCGGCAATAATTGCGTAAATTTTTCACAAACAGACAAACAACGAGTGGGATCCTACAAGTGCCTTCAAGTGGCAGCAATCTGCGTTGCCAGCTTCAATTGTCTGTCTGGGAGATGATTTGATTTGGCTGCCTGTAAATAATAAGCCCGTCCTGGCCCAGCCCGGAGCATCAGCATCCTTGTAGTTGCTGTTGGGATGGCTAGCTTTCTACCTTTCTCACTCATGTGTCTAACTGCCGGCTTGTTTGTTTGTTTGTTTATATGATTGTTTGTGTGTTTGCACGTCCTTGGCACTTGTTTGCGTGTGTTGTTTGAATTGAATTTGTTGCTCTTTGACGGGAATTGGATTGGCTGACAAGCGGGATTTATGGCCGAAGCTGTAAAGGTTTTTCAAAATGGAAACAAAGTGCTTACAAAAAATGGCTGTGGTTTCCATCTTAGCTATTTTTATTTCTACAGACAGTTAAAAAGGCATCTCTTAACAGTTCTTATATTAAATTTCTATATCACAATACCTGAAATATTTTTGAAAGCATAATATTATTGATTTTCTTCAATTTCCTGTTAATATTTCCAGAGCCATGACCGAACCGAGTCCCATAGAGGAGCACGCACCTGTCGCCGAATGCTAATAAATTCCGCGGTGCCATCAGTTTAATTAAAGAACCGTCAGGGCTCTGGGCTCTGAACAAGGCGGAGGGGTACTCGAACAAGGAGGCTGAACAGAGGCTGAAGAGGCTAGTGGCAGGACTGGCAGGATAGAGGCATTGTTCACCAAGAAGGACACTCGCCAATCTGTGGACGCGCCTACGTTCGCCGCGGCCCAATCGGGCCACTGGCGGCTACCTGCTGACGGGCACAAGTGCGCCGCGCGACGATGAGCTCGTTGCAGGACGAAGGCGTCTGCAGGAGCAGCAGCAGCAGCAGCAGCATCTGGAGCAGGACAAGGAGCAGCATCTGGCCAGGCGGGGATACGCAGCTGCCGATGAGTGCTTAATTAATGTAACGGACTTTAGTGATATTCAAATAAGTGAGGCGGGCGAGGTAGCAACCACAACCATCACCGAGTTAAGAGTGCCGACCATAACGACCACAAACATCAACAGCACGAACAACCACAACAACAACAACAGTAGCAGCAACACCAACAACAACAGCAACAACAACAACAACAATAATAATAACAACATGTCGCGCATTATACAACCACGTTATCGTTTCCGAGATCTACTCCTGGGTGATTTTTCGTTCAACGATGATGGCGAAAGGTAAGTGAATTCTTCCATTTGCCACCTGCTACTGGCTACCCGCTGCATTGCGCATACGCCCCATTGGCCGCGAGCCAGCTGGCGTGTCACCGTGTCGCATGATTCTCCCTTCCATCATCCATCACTTACCACTCACCACTTACCATTTTCTGCTTACCGTCTGTACCAAGAATAGAATGTTAATTACACTTGCCAACTCCAATTGGCAAAACGATTTTTTCCTCATTCACCTGACAATCGATTAATCGATTTTTCATACTTGATGTCCTGTCCATGTCCAGGTCTCGTTAATTATTCAATTGTGGACTTTTCCAAGTTCCTTGTCACATACTTACGGAGATAGTTCTTTAGCAATTTAATGAGTAAATAAAGGAAATATATCTAGCTTAAGATAGGAATAAATCACTAAAGGGTATATGGTCTTCATTATATTTTATATTTTAATGTTCCCAAAAGTCATGATAGCCATTGTTTATTACCACGTTATCTATTTAAAGCTTTAAACATTGTATGGTTTAAGCCATTTAAAGCTCTTTCAGGTATTTGATGACTTTATTAAAAATGAAACGAGCTCCACCGCCCCACCTGTCAGTCACAATTGTTCCAAATCATCCGCACATTTCGTGACAATCTGGGCAAAAAGTGGAACCCCTAAAAACCAATCAATAGCCGCAGCTTTTTTCTATCCGATTTGAAGTGCCAATTCAGTGGCAGTGGAAAAAATTCCAAAACCAAACAGTTCAATTGCGGAAAGGAGGGAGCGCGAATAATTTGATTTAGCCATTGTTTGATCTGACCACGAAAACAAAAAAATTAACCTGCATAGCCAGCGCTGCGAGATAATCTTTATGAGTTTTTGATCATTTATTTAGTTTCAACAGCGAAATAACCTTAAACGCCCGTCAGTTGGAAATATTTGTAATACAGTTTAGTTGTTACTAGTTCAGTGATGGTCCAGAATATTTTCACGATAGTCTGTGTGACTATTTGTATAATTTCGTTGGGAATTAAGGCCAGAGAAAAGGTATGTGAGGTCCAAAGAACATGTTATTAAAAATAACTAGTCATTTGTCATAACAGGGCCAGAAAATAAAGTCTGTGGTTACGGGCCCTGAAATGGCGTTTTCTAAGGACTATGTATCGTATTTAGGCTTTGTCCCTGGAGAATCCAAGGTTATAATGTTTAATGTAACTCGGTTAGTAAAGACTATCTTCATGGACAATCGCGTTGAAGACGAAGACACCAATCGGGTGTTCTACAGAGTCCAAAACTTCTCCGTCTGCAACTTTTTAAACAACCGCCTCATTTCAACGCTCTACTCCGCTTTTTACGAAGAGTTTGTGGGTAATTCCACGGTTCTTAAGTGTCCTGTTCGTCCTGGTATTTACTATATGAAGAACGGTATAACTAATCAGTCGGTGCCCTCATTTCATCCACCTGGAAGATACCGATTTATGGTTAACATCAAAACCGAGAAGGAAGCATCTTATACGGCGAGGTTTGTTTGGCGATACCGTGTTTCACGTTCATAAATTACCGATCTATACTTTTAAATATTTTTAGTAATAAATACACAAAAAACCTATTAAAGCTACTAATTATAGAAATTTTTATAAATCTAAAATGGCAATTAATAGCTCGTCGGTTGATAAATACATTTTCTGCTCATGTGGTTCACTAATTAAGAGTTTAAATGACTAATGAAACGAACTAGAGACTCAAATATTATGATACTATGATTTTAGTTAACTATGATTGTCAGTAAAAGAGGTTTGGCATGGTTTGGGGCTCTTCTATGGCTAGTTGTCGTAGTAACCCCCAATAGAACAGAAGATGTAAGTTTCTTTTTTAAACAAAAACTTGTCTGAGATAATCATATTGTTGCAGCAACCACCTGTCTCGAAGAGAGGCGGCTCGAAGTTCATCCTGGAAACCATACAGACCAGCTGTGACCACAATTTTGTGGAATACTTCCACAAGGTCCCGAAAACCGCCGCCTTGTACACTTTTCGGGTTGTCAAGCTGGCCCCCTCTTTCACCATCGACATTGCCACAAGAGTGCAGAAAACCAAGCGCATTCTGTACAAAGTCGACAACCTAGACGGCTGTGGGTTCTTGAAGAACCCCCTCTTGTCTCGAATATTCGGCCCCGTGTACAAGAAGCTGATCGTCAATGGCAGCTTCTTTGGATGTCCCATTAAGCCAAAGGTGTACTTTCTCAAAAACGAAGGCACGGAGGCCATGTTGCCGGCATTTCAACCGCCCGGCAGGTACCAGATCACCATGAGGGTCAGAATGAAAGAGAGCCACGATCCATTTGTAATGGAAATGCTTTGGGTTTACAATGTAGTTAGGATTAAATGAGAATGATCCAAGTTTTTGGTTAGCTTAGGCAATAAATAATATATTATTGTCAGAGGAACGTCTTTTTGTTTAAACCTTATCTGACTATATCTCCCTAACAATCGGCCAGACAAACAAACTTCATACCAAACAGTCTCTAAAACATAAAGTAATTAGTTTGAATAATTACGCCTCGATGGGCTCAATTAATAGCTCATTAGTGGAAACGATGTTGCCCAAACAAATATACTTTGCCAGTCGTTGTGGCTTAATGGCTGCTGCTGGTAGTTATTTTTTTTGTTTGTGGCTGCTGTCGATCCTCTTAGTGGCAGCAAAAGATCAGGTAATCTATGAGTACTCCACTAAAAATATATACCCTACGATATAGTTTTTCAGCCCCTCGTTTTCCAAAAGGGACCTCTCAAGTTCATCATCGAGTCTCTGGACACGAGTTGCGATCACGACTATGTCGAGTATTTCCATAAGGTGCCCAACTCCGGCCTGCTCTACACCTTTCGAGTTGTTAAACTAGCTTCAGCCTTCTCCATCGACATAGTGTCGAAGGTCACGAAAACCCAGAGGATAATGTACAAGATGGTGAACATTAGTGGCTGCGAGTTCCTGAGCAATCCCATTCTATACAAGGCCTTCGACGCGGCCTACAAGAGCCTGGTGGTCAACGGCAGTTTCTTCAAGTGCCCCATCAAGCCGAAAGTGTACTTTCTGAAGAACGAGGCCACATTGTCGTTATTTCCCAGTTTTCATCCACCTGGACGCTTTCAGCTCTCGATGCGGGTGAAAATGAGGGAAAGTCGTGGCCCGTTCGTCATGGAAATGCTGTGGAAGTACAAAATTGTGCGCATCTAATAAACACAAACATTTCGCACTTTTTTTTGCAAGTTTCATGGGCAGAGTATTCAAGTTTTAGTTGGCTTGTTCCGGTTGCTCGTACGGCGTGGTGTTCATGCGCCACGTTGCTCATACGCCGTGTAGTTCGCACTCACTCCCAGAGGAGTCGTAAGGTGTTGAGTGTGTTAGTGTGTGCCTGGTTGGGTGTGTGGCTAAGGAAAATCATAATTCGCTGGCAATGCCTTCTTTGCATTTAATGTAGCGTAAACATTTTAATTTTTTATAAGCTGCCTTCAAGCTTCACTCTTGGCCCTCTCTCTTTCTAGTTTTTTCATTCCGTCTCACTCCCCGGCTCTGTTTCCATCTCACTCTGGCCAGCTCTTCTCTGCTCAGCTGACTGCGACGTGCGCAAGTGGCCGTGGCAGTTGCCTTTATAATGCCACGTAGTCCCAGCCACTTGGCCCAGCCTAGCCCGGCCCGGCCCGAACGGGCCAAACGGCCCAAAAGGCCCGAACCCGGCCCATGGCAGTGTGCGTTTGGGCTTTTACTGTGTCACGGATGCTTGCACGTCCTGCCGGCCAGGATTCCCTACCTGAAATCGGTTATAAACGGTTTAGCAGACTCCGGCCGTGGCAGGATACCAATGCTTGAGGGTTATTTGACATGCTACACTGAGATTCGTGGCCATAATAAGGGAAGTGGTTCTACCCGAATTCACAAAAGGGTTAGCATATGTGACACTCGTTTGGTAAACTTAAGGCCTTTATTTTGTTTTAAAAATTGGCTCATTCGTATTTTAAGTAAATATAATTATTGAATATTTTTTCAGAACCTTATATAGAGCATTTAAGGCTACCTCACACTTATATGGCTCTCTTGAAGAATTCCGTTCGGGTCTTGGCTTAAAGGCTTTGCGACATGGTTTACCTTTTTGCGAGGAGAACCCTTTTTTTATGTGAAATATTTAATAAGTACGCGGAAATTACGCTTTTGTTTTATAAGCGGTGACGACAGCGTTGCGAGATCAAGATTTATGGCTCCTTAAATACAACAGTTTTATGGTCCAATCCGACCTCCGGGGCAGGGTCGAGGCCCCAGCTCGGGAATATTTAATTGCCACTCTGAATGGGTACTGGAATTCGGGACTTTAATGGCCACACGTTCAAGTGGACGACATCGGGGAAACGACTTAGCAATTTGTTGGCACTCGTTAACAGATGAAATTGACCGCTTTTTGTGACAAAATATTACATTCCTTTAACAAGCTTTAACAAATCGGCGACCTGTTAGTGAAGGTCAAAGTTCGGGCCCTCCGGAATCCACTTTGGCTTCATTAGCAAACAAATTCAACACAAAATTTCGTCGGCTGTGCGCTGTGGCGAGCACTTGAAATGATTTGGAAAATGGGCATAAGATTCCTCACGGCGTAACATGAGTAAAATGTTCAATTAAGCCAACTGGGGTCCTGTTTACCTTTTCCTTAACCAAAAAAAAAGGGTTTCCGCCCAAGGACTTTCTCATTATATCTAAGTGGCGAAATGCCCAAAAAACCGAAAGCATAATCCCCAAAAACAAAGAACTTCCTCAACAAGTTGCGAAAAAACCTGAAAAAAATCAAAGAAGCGGAAGAAGCGCCTTCTGGGGCTGAGTAATGGCAAATTACTTGTTTTTCGCACGTTTAACGCAATTTCTCCGAGGGGCAAAATAAAAACATGAAATATCCTTGCACCTGATAGGTGGGCTTGTGCTTGTACGTTTTTCCCGCCAGTTTAGCAAACTAAAGTGCAGCTGGTATCCTTCCTAAAAATGCCTCAACATGTCCATTAGCGTTGATTATGCGACTTGGCGGAGGGAGAAATAATAAAGCCTGAATGGGAGCCTGTTTGTGAAGTACAATTTCTGACATTTCCCATTTCCATTCGTACAAGTTTCGGACACATCCATCCCCACGTGAGCTGACACACTTGTGTGTTGTGTGGTTTGCCATAATAACTTATGTAAATCGCTTCCTCCTCGGCGTTCCCTGGCCAGGTTATTGTTTTTTCCCACTGCTGCTAAGCGCTCAACTGCAGCTATGCCTGCAAATTATTATTATTCTACAAGATATACTCATGAAAAATTAGAGTATGCGGTTTTCCAGGGTTCTGCAGTAATAGTAGAGAAATATTAGAGAGAAAATAAAGAGAACTATGGTGTCTGGTGTATGGATCTTCTATACGAAGACCCCTTTTATTATTCGAGGGAGTGTTCTAATCCGCTTCTAAAACAGAACGACTCCTTCCATGACAAGTCAGACAGCTGGAGGCTTCCACACATATCCCCACTGGCCCAACGCTAATCCCCATGCTTCTCCCGGGGCCCTGATCTATACGGATATAATTATAATAGCATTGTGTATATAGAACGCAGCCACAGGCTGTCGCCATTCTGTTTTCAATAATGGATATGTCTGGGGCTGCATGAAGGGTCCTCCAAGGCTCTCCTGTCGGATTAATGCTTGCAAAATGGCGTACATTATGCATACAGGATTCTATATATAGCAATCAGATGGGTGGGCCGGCCATTAAAGCCAGTCCAGGTGATTCGTCCAGGCATGCAAGTGATTTAATCCAATGAATACCGAGTACTCAGCACGACCTTGTTTGGCCAGCTCACTTCACTGTGAAATATGTTTGAATACTTTTGTTTAGATAATAATATATTCCATGAACCCCATAATCTTATTCCCCCGTTACCCAATTAGAAATTCCTGTTAAGTGTAATTGTGTTTTCCCCAAAATTTTATATTGTTGGTAATAAAAATGGTAGACTCATAGGTCCCTTATCTACACAGTTTTTTTTTCGTATACGAGTATAGTACCCACCCACAAGTACTGAGTGCTGTGAATGCTTCCGTTTCTATTTTCGAAACTTTGGCAACGTCATTGAGTATTTTTTCCATGTGGCAACAGACCGAGGGACTGAAAGGAACGCCATTTCATGGCAGGTGAACTGGCGCGGCTGGCTTGGCTGGCTTGGCCGGCTTGGCCCGAACCTGAACCCTCACATTTTCGCATCGGGTCGAAAGGCAAAAGAGCAATATAAACAGCGTTTGTGTTCATCAATGAATGAACACTTGTAAATAAATAATTATGTGTGCCACAACTATAGGCGGGTGGTCAAGGATCGATGGAGGTCACTGAAAGGCAAAAAGCAAAAAAAGCCAAAGGAGAAACCGACTCGAAAAGTGGCAATAGCAACAATAGCCATTGCCCTGGCATCCGAAGTGCAGCCGTTTTATTACCACTTTTGCAGTCAAAGAAAGGAGCACGTATGCCTTTGTGTGTGAGTGTCTGGTGGGGGTGTGAGGGAGTGTGTGGGTGTATCAGGATGTGTGTCTGCCGAAAGAAAAAGTTCAAAAATCAATCAACGTGCGAAAAAGGCAATTTGTGGCTACCGGGGAGAGGCGAAGCTTCGGCACCCGGAGACGGAGATCTACCACAGTTGGCTATAAAAAAAATTCCATTTCAGCAATCTGCATCTTTATGTACCCTTATTTATTATATTCCCAGCTTACAAGTGTGCTTAGATTAAAGTTGATGGTCCTGTCAAAACAAAAGCCATTTCTTTCAATGAAGTCGAATGCTTGTGGTAATTTACTCAAGGACATGTTTTTTCCTAAACGTGATTGGATGTACTTATCGGTACAAAAGGTATTTGGTTTAATATTATATATTTTACCAAAAAAAACATTCATTTGGATGAGCAAATATTTTGGTGACGAATAAAAAAAATGTCTGAAATCTTAACTTGTCTTAAAAAATTCAAAATATGGCTTCTAAAATAAGCATTTTGTAAAACATTTTTATAAAAGCGGTTTAACAATAGTATAAAAAGTAAAATATAATATAAGAATGCTACCTCTTCCTTTAAAAATCCTCTCACAATTTTTGGCCTATAATTGTTAACCTTTAGGCCAAAAAGGCCTATACCCTGACGTCATTTAGGGTATGACCATGCTTGAAAATTCTATTATAAGTAAAGTTTCCTTGCTGCTTCCTGTGTGATGTGTAGGTGTGGAGACCAGAGTGTAAAAGTGTTGGTCTTTGTGCGTCAGTCTTTGTGGGAGGGTGTGTGCTGGCTTTTTTTTCCTTTTTTTGTTTGTTGACAACTTTTTTTGTTGTTGTTCCCAGTACCGACAAATGTGGCGTAAAACATGAGCAACGCTTGACTTTTTGGGATTTGGCCAGGTCCTTGGCCAGGTCGTCTTTATTCTCTTGGCCAGGGAAAATAAATATTTTAGCTTTTCTCGCTCTTTTTTTTTGTCCGCCCGGCGAGCTGTTGGTCAATGATGCATTTAATGGCGTTTGCTGGGGAACATTATTTGTTTCTTCGAATTTCCAAGCTGTTTATTTGCCGCAATGAACAATAAAGAATTTTTCAATTTCCTGGCAAAGTCATTCATTGTGTGTGTAAGAAGTATGGGCTTTCGGCAGGACCTTTGCCCACGTAAATTTAATTAGCACACGGACCATGCATGACTGGGACTGATGACTGGGGCTGTCGAGAAGCTGTCGCTTTAAATTTAGCAATTACGTGGGCCCCGAAAGGTAGACCACAATGCCTACACCTGTACTTTCGCCGGGAGCTGCAGCCAACCGAATCGGATATCCTTTTCTGAATGGCAAAATCAAACCGAATCAAACCCGAGCCACAACCGAATCAAGCCAAGCCAACTGGAAGTGAAGGATACTGCCGGGCGGCTGACTGACTGCCAGTCTGCCAGTCTGACTGACTGACTGAATCCGCCGACTGATTGTCAGGATTGGATCAGGGTCCGGGCCAACAGACAGGACAATCCTGTTGGCATTAAACCGATTTCAATAGCTACGAATTTATGCAAATTAAAGGGATTTTTCAGCAATTGCCCTGACATGCTCGGAAAAACAATAAGCGGCCGCAAATCGTAAATGGAAAAAAAATGTACAAAAATTCGCCTGAAAGACTTGAAAGCACTTGAAGCGTTATTAATTTTCTTG